TCCCCAAAGTAACAATTTTGCTGCTGGTGTAGTACATCGCAGAAGCTTTGTACGCTTCTTTATGTAAATATGACACAGCGCTTCTTCAGTTAGAGAGCACTGTACGAAAATCTCCTGAAAAGGCACGTCTGACGATGTGTGGTAGTGCCGTGAGATGCATGGCACGCAACCACAGAGGAAAGGAAGGATGAAGAAGAAAAATTGCGAGACATAATTTAAGCTAAACCAGCCGAGAAAGGACACGCGATCGATACGTCAGAGGGCGCGGAAGGTGTTGGCGTCTCCACCCTGAAGAGAGAGCTAGAAGCGATCGGCAAAGAGAATGCGACTTTTTTTACATTATTCCAAGAGTCAAGAATTTCACGTAGTAAAGTGGCGTACACCCAAGAGATTGCCCGTTTGGCCCGAGCCAAGTGTGCCAAAATACCATTAATCTGTCGTCGAAGACAGGGAACCGAGTCACGTCCGCCTTGGTAGGAAAGTTGATGCGGTGCTCGACTGCATAATCCAAAGTGGCCGGTTCGATCCCTGTCGGGGCGGTCGCATTTTGATAGAGACGAAATGCTAAAGACCCGTATTTCATGCGATGTCGGCGCAAGTTGAACGCCAGATAGTTGTAGTTTGCGGTGTCTTGCACTACGGCACACCTCAAACTGGTGTAACTTGGTTGCGGCACGCAAAAGCCCCAGGAATTATCGAATTGAACCATCTCATTCAGCAAAGCGCTCACGCATCCTCGCAATGGAGGCTCTTTTTATGAGCGAAGCTTCTTAGGCTCGAATGATGTCCGATGTCGCCGGCGTCGTATGTACGTCCCCATCGGCCGCGTGCGTCTATACCATGTATGGAGTGTTCATAGCTCGCATATAGATTAAAAAAAATGACCGTACTCTCTCTATACACCTGTCCGTCCGCGCGTACGCTCGTCTATCCGTGCATCTGTCCGTCTAACCTTTATACCGATCGGCGACTTAAACGTTGACATCACGGGCCTTAGGACTCAGCTTTGCTTCAACATCAGCATTCACCTCCTGGATTGGTTGCCAATTTTCTGCTTATAAGAAGACATGCTTGGGCGAGGTTGCAACGATCCACGATGGCACTTGGAAGCACTAGATACACAAGTATGGAGAGCTATACACTCACAGAATTTGAGGGATGTATACAAAAAGCCGAGCAACTGTATTACTTGCCCCAGAGTTCTTTAACTCCATAGGCGAGTAGGGCAGAGTTGGCCGCGAAACTTCCGCTTTCCTTGAAGGCAGGGTAAAAGTGAGTGCCAACGCTACTCGGGTGGAGTTCCCAATCTACGCAACTCTTACGCCAATGAGGCGCGAATCGGGTCTGGCACTACGTCCTTGTGGAGGGAGTAAAATATAGCGACTGCTTATCATTACCGACGCCACAGATCAATATAACTGTCTCGTAACAATACGCCTCAGAGCGTAGACGCCCCAGATGTACGTCTAGTGCGTCAAGTTAATAGGATAAATTTCAGTGATAACAGAAGTCTGGTTTTGTCCCTGTGAAGGTTTCGTTCCCGGAATGCCAATAGCAACACCTTCGAAGCAAGGAACCACGGCCACTTATAACGCGTCACCAAAGATTAGCTTATGGCCCAGACTAATTGCCACTAGGGTAAGGTCGAGGCTAGAGACATCAGTTTTAAAAAAAAGTGCTTAAAACCTTTTCTTGAAGCGCACTAAAAAACGGACGCACAGAAAAAGCTGACAAAGACAGCGCTTGCAAGCGCTGTCCTTGTCAGCCTCTTCCGTCCGTCCTTGTCAGCCTTTGTCCGGCCGTTTTTTAGTGCGCTTCAACAAAATTTTCAATTATGAACGTAATCCAACTGGCCCAACTTGCCATCTTGCTGCTTAAAAAAAACTTCATCCGCCGAAATTCGAACTCGCCACCTCCATCTAACCAAACGAGTACTCTATATAGCGCTCGTATTGTCTATATTATACTGCTTGTTTCACGCTTCCGAATACCATCATGTGCCCTTTTCTGTAGCTGAGTGCAAGAATCATGCGGATAGACAGAAACACAAACAAACCACAATGCCATAACAGACGACGTCGCCGTCCGTTGAACTTGACCCGATTCCTCCGCGAGCCCCCGAGCGCAGCTGGTTTGCCTACAGGGCGTGCCGCACAAGCGAGCGCGGGGTGGATCGAGAGGCGCTAATAACGGCCCAGCAAGATGTGACACGTCCACTCGCGTATGCCGTTTTACTTTCGCTCATTGAGTAAACGTGATCGCTCTCAGAAATCGCTAAACGCACGTCGCGACGTGACCCGGATGTAATGACGGACTCTCCTCTTATCTGGAAGATGGAGCCCTTCGGTCGCTGCGACCACTTTATTACGGCTACCGCCCTCCATAAATATGAACGATCGGGTTACAAGGACGAAAATTCGAAAGACACGAAGCTCGAAGGCCGCCCCTGTTTGACGTCATGCAATCAGAGCACATTATCGGCTTCTATAGGACCCGGCTGTCTTTACTTTAAAATGTATTGGTGTGCGGGCCTGTGAGTGCGTGCGTGCGCACCTGGCTCGATGCGTGAGGACGGTGTTTCGAATACGTTTTAAGGCTACAGTACCATGCTTCTGTCGGGCTGTTTCAAAACATGATTATGTTACGTTGCAGTTAGCGTACGAGTGCATACGCGGGGGAGTTGAGATAAGCCGAGGTTTGGTTCACCGCACTACGAATATTAAATTAAAAAGGACATTTTTAGAAACCTGATTAAAATGTTCGTTTTTTTTTTTTGGTCGTACTCTCGGGGAAAAGGTCGTATGATCGACTTTAGGGTTAGCGTTTATTCAGTTAAAATTGTGATGGTTTTCTAACCACGGTTTTTTAAAGAGATACTTTTCCACTACTGTTTTTTTTTTCTTCAGGCATTTGTACATCGCATGTGGCCTACCCATGACGATGCGAAGACAAGCTCCCTCTATGCATCCGCCACATTTGATCTTTGTATGTTGTAAATGTAACTGGGCATAAATGCAATATTTGCTAGCAAATAAAGCTGCAAGTTCTATATAAAGAAACAATCCGTACATTAAAAAAAAGCTGTCGGATGCTCTAAACCAAGGTTGGCACGCATCGCTGTTAGAAGTGAAGCGTTTAATTAACCGATGGTATAATACGTTAGCTTACCATTTACACCGATCCAAACGTGGTTGTTGCATGCGCTGCACCTTTCTTCTTACGTATGCAATTCTGCACTTCTCATTTCATTTACCTTTGTCACGCGAAAGCTTCGTCCGATTTGTTTTCTGCCTACGGTCTCCGCCTCTTTTGTCTTCTGCTTCTTCCAGGTAATATTCACACGATCCCATACGCAACACGTTACCAGGACAAAACATTTGAAACTTTCGTATACGTTCCATGAACCGTGCTCGACTGAACTGTTCACCTCAAAATTTACTTGATTCTGTATAGCATATTCGAGACCATGTATATCAATGTCGGTGCTGGCTGCTTGCACTTGAGAGCATTTTTTTTTCCTTTCTCTTTCTCTCTCTCTCTCTCTCTCTCTCTCAGTCACTTAATGATTTTCTCCATTATGCCGCTTTTTTCGCCTATTATATATTAGAAAAAGTGGTTTACTGTATTTTTTAACGTGCAGTAATGTATGAATAACTATAAAAATAGTTGCAGCATATCCGGTGCGTCATGCTGCAATCTATGTAAATAAAGCAAAGCCCCTTTGCCCCATCATTATTCACTTAATATTCTGATGCGCAGTCTTTCTGGTTTTCTTCTAAACACTTTTTGTAACAGGGTGCAATGTCCATGATGTCGACGACCGTTTCTGCGAAATTCTCCAGAGGCCTTTTCTATAGTTAGTCCGCAAATGGAAGTGAAGTGTAGAATGGTAACAATACAGATTTGTAGTGGAAACCGGAAGTGAAATTAAGATCATAAGTGAGTAACTGAAATTTTGATAAGTGTGTAATAAAAGTTATAATAGGCATAAAAGCGGGACTAGGGACCAGTGGTGGCGTCGCCGAAGATTGGTTTACGGCACAGACTAATTGTCACTAGAGTGAGGTCGAGGCTAGAGACATTAGTTTTAAAAAATTGCCCGCAGCTTCCCTCGGGGGAACACTGAGGAGGATGCGGACCATATAATTGGTTAACGGGGTGTTAAAGTGCGACTTACTTGGGTCGATGGCTAAATTGGTTAACGTGGTTGTGAAATGGGGTGTTAAATTGCGACTTACTTGGGTCGATGGCTAAATTGGTTAACGTGGTTGTAGGAGGGGGTGTTAAATGAGTGAACACGTACACACGTATGCGAAAGGGCGGCGCTGGTCGAAGGGACGTCGATCATTGTGTTTGTGGATTCGTTGGAATTCATTTCACCGCGACCTTGGACGTCGACGCGCCGTACAAACCAACCGACGAGCGGCAACTGAGCGAGCGAGCGCCGACCTTGAGTATATATACAGCACGACGGCGCATGCACTGTCAGCTGTTGAATGTTCTCGAAGCGCGACGCCACATGCGCGTCCACTGGAGAATCAGGAGAATTGTAGATGTCGAACGCGGTGTGTAGAGGAGGAAGGGTGCACAGATGGTGGAGGAGTGAAGCGCGCGCGGTGTGTAGAGGAGGAAGGGATGCACAGATGGTGAAAGAGTGGGCGACGGCGCATGCGCGCGCGTCAGCTGTCGAATGTTCGAGAAGCGGTGCGGACGGCGCACTACAAGGCGCGAGTATAAGATGCTCCGCATCTAAAAGTTTTAAAAAAAGCTTCACCCACTGAAATTCGAACTTGCCACCTCCATCTAACCAGACGCGTACTCTATAGATCCCTCGTATTGTCTAGATTATCTTGCTTGTTTCGTGCTTCCGAGTACCATCATGTACCCTCAGTACCATCATGTACAACAGCTGAGCTACGATCACAAAAGCCCGCGGGGAGGAGTTGCGCAAGAGAAGCGTCGCTTAAAAATTGCGAGATCGAGGAATACGAGCCACTGACCGAGCAGGGACAGGGCAAGCGCGCACAACTCGAACTGGTTCCATTTGACGGCGAAGAAGGCGGTGCCAGTGGCGGCGGCGCGCAGCAGAAGCTCTCCGGCGTGTCCCACCAGGAAGACGAGGTGTGCCCGACCCAGCGCCGCCCGCTGCCGCCCGTTCCACTCGTAGCGCTCCGAGGCCAGCAGCATGCCATTCAGCAGGGCAAGCACCGCAGACGCCACCGCCAGCCTGCGCCCAGGTGAACCTGACAGTAAGGCAACAGTACAGCAAGCGGAGCTGATAGATTGATTGTTTGATTGATTGGTTTCCCTGCTTGCTAGCGAGATTTACGCTTCTCGGTGTAGCAGACGTGTCTTGTAATGCACATGCAACTTGCCTTCTATAGCTTCGGTTTCGGTGTATGACCAAAATGCGGTGTCTCACTCACTCCTTGCTGGCGGCCACGTCGTAAAGAAAGCCCCGAAACCTGCCGGCCGGCCTGGCAACTAGGCTGACGGGCCTCTGGGCAAGCAGCCGGCGGAGTGACCGAGCGTACCGGCGCTGGCCCTCGCTCGCCGTAGGCTCCGAATAGTCCTCCTCCAACTACACGCATGCGCACACGACGGAAGACGTTAAGCGGAGGACTGCACCGAGTGATCCGATGCTGAAAGAAGCGCGCATGCACAAATGGTAGCTCGGCGAAACACTACTAGCCTGTCGCTTCTTGGCGTAGAAGTTGTCGATGACGACGCCGACGAACAGGTTGAATACCAGGAAGGCGCCGATTACGAGGAAGATGGCGAAATAGATAAGCGACCAGGGATTGGCCTCAAGCCGTGGCTGCAGGTCGACGCCCTCGATGTCCAACACATTCTCGATGACTTCGATCCAGCCCTCGAACGTCGCTACCTGCGCAGATCGACGGTGGGAACTTCATATGGCAGCACTCTCAGCTTGGCGAATCAGGAGAGATTTGATGTGATTTATATGTGGGGTTTAACGTCCCAAAGCCACCAAGTGATTATGAGAGACACCGTAATGGAGGGCTCCGGAAATTTCGACCTCCTCGGGTTCTTTAACGTGCACCCAAATCTGAGCACACGGGCCTACAACATTTCCGCCTCCATCGGAAATGCAGCCGCCGCAGCCAGGGAATCAGGAGAGTGAAATAGAACTATAGGCATACAAAATCAATACAACCACTACTGACGTTTTCCCCTCGACTTTCAGCAAATTAGTATTGCTGCAAATGAGGTATTGGGAAAATATGCCCGGCTCTACAGTCGGAACCCGCCTTCGACGAGAAAGTCAACGTTTACTACTGATTATTTCCCACCACTTCGCCGCACCACTCCGCTGCAGTGGCTACATGGTGCCTTTTTGTAGAGCTCGTGGCCGCTAATTTTGGCGGCGTGAGTCGGTAAATGCTAGCGACACTTCCCAAGTTCAGGCTTTGCTTCATCTATAGTATGCCATAGTGCATTTTTACCAATGCAAGACTAATTGGGCGTCTGCAGAAGTTCTCAAAATTATTGACTTGACGGATATGACCTGCTAGAGCGTCAAAAAGGCCTACGTCGCCGTCTGCGCTCTTTTTCGCGATGTGACTAACCTTATCTAGCTTTAGAGCCGCCTATTGTAGGGCGGGACCCGTTCAAGGAGCAATTATCTCTGTTCAATGTAAACCATTGCTTTTACAACTTGAGCTGAGCATAACCATGATAGCCCCAAAATATGAAAACAAATTTCGCGCACTTTTTAGTTTACAATATTTAGTCATGAAATTATTTACCGATTGCTCAATATTTTCGTCGCAATGCTTGAAAAACTACTGCTTTGTTACTTGAGAATATATTTTGACAGGTATATAAGAGTGCCCAGAAGCCAAAGTTAAAAATTTCCACACAAAATTAGAATAAATTGCTTACCTCTGGAGGAGGAAAGACAAGCCGCCTTAGCGCATTGCGCTTCTGCAATTTCTTCGTACACAAGCGACCGCAATTTCTTCGGCCTGCAGGTTTGGCAGCATATGTACAGCACGCGTGCACAGTATGAGTTGTAATAACGGAATAACAACATTTGCATTTACCAAAGTAGTTGCTGACTGAGCTACAAAATTGTTCATTCCGATTGGTTGATTGATTGATTTGTGGGGTTTAACGTCCCAAAACCACCATATGATTATGAGAGACGCCATAGTGGAGGGCTCCGGAAATTTTGACCACCTGGGGTTCTTTAACGCGCACCCAAATCTGAGCACACGGGCCTACGACATTTCCGCCTCCATCGGAAATGCAGCCGCCACAGCCGGGATTTGAACCCGCGACCTGCGGGTCAGCAGCCGAGTACCTTAGCCACTAGACCACCGCGGCGGGGCTTCATTCCGATTGGAATCGCTCACTCTTTCTCATCACTGTCTTCCAAGCGTGTATAGCCGGATCCATGAGTGCGGAAAGACGCACCTGGAGGAGCGCGAGCGATGCTTCGCCCAGGTTGTCGAACTGCACGTTCTCGTTGGTCCACGAGTAGCCCAGCATGTGGCAGGTGGCGCGGTCTGGCACCAGGCCGGGGTCGAGCGACTGGCCCCGGGCGTCGACGCAGTGCCGCAGGCGACCCGCGAACACGCTCACGCCCACCACGCCGAAGATGATCCAGATGAAGGCGCACACCACGAGCACGTTGCCGATAGAGGGCACCGAAGAGGCCAGCGCGTCCACCAGCAGCTGCATGGAACTCTCCTCTTTCCCTGGAAACTCTTTCCTTACGCCTAATTCGCATATTTGAAAGACTATTTGCAGCCGTTATGAACGCTTGGCTGTGCTTTCAGTGCGTAAACCTATGGTCCAGGATAGCAAGAGTTCAGCTCTATGTGTAAATTGAACCGTAAACATTGAGTATCGCAACCTAAGAGATTCGCTTTAGCAGCTGTGACGTGGGGTCAACCTCACACTGTATTACATTTGGCTATAGTGAATTACATTCTGTGTGGAGCTCAGTATTTATTAAAGGTGTACTTGGTTCTAACATTGAACTTATTTTTAAAGCTGTATTCTTGGTTCTTACATCGAACGTATTATACGCATTGCGCTTCTCAAAACTGTTGCAGTGATTATGTTGCAGTTCTCTATCATTGCATCGGTTCGATAATTAATTATTAATAATTATTACAACAGCTCCTGAGTAAACCGATCTCGCAGCAGCACGGAGAGGAAAATGAGGTGTTCGAAATCAGCAATAAGCAGATTATCGATTCTTAGACCTTTGATAGAGAAGCTATAAATCCCACCTTCATCCCCGGCAACAGAGAGACGATTCGCACGGGTCTCAGAGCCCTGGTGGCGCGCAGAACGTTGATCACCGAGCCTTGAACGCCGATCACGTCAAAAACCTCGTAGAGCAGCGACGTCTGCGAAACGATGAATCAACAGTGTTTGTCTCTGCTAATTATTGCTATCTCATATATAGCCACCAGCCTACAACAAAGGCACGAATTCATCACTCTATGAAAGCTGTTATCGGTGTGGCTGGAATGGGTATATCACACGGCCGCTTGCGCATACGCCTAAGACTTCTTTTTCAATCTTCTTTTCCATCAAAGTCGATTGCTTTGAACCACAACCCTCCCCCGAGCCTCTGAAATTGGTAAAAGTGAACGACGTTTGACTTATGGGTATTGCATAACGAATCGTCCGGAATATGCCTACTTTTGAATGTGAACATCATCATATGTCATAATGACGCCACAAGTTCCTTTTTTTGTGACGTCATAAGTATCTCACGCGATGACGTCATTGATGACGTCCTATGACATTCAGGTCGCGCGACATTTGGTACGCCGACGGACACACATTCGTTCGCAAAAGCAGCACGTAACTTTCAACGCAATTTTGTTACTTTTTCTTCTTGGACAATTCGCTTACGAGGTCTCGCGAAGTATCGTCCGGCTTCGCCAAAACGCGCGATGTCTCCTGACTCATGAGCATTATGAGGGTTCCGCCTTAATTTCAGGTCGATACGGCAGTGTGGGCAGGTAAAAGAGTGCCTTACGAACGACCATGCTTTGAAAGAGGCCCGAGTACAGGGCGGTGCGCGCTATAATCTTATGAACTAGACGCATACCGACTGCACAATGAAGTCAAGCAGGTGCCATCCGGACGAGAAGTAGGCGTGCGGGCCCTTGGCCACAAGCACCAGGGCGACGTCCACGCTAAGCAGCACGGTGAACAGCGCACTCGCCAGCTCCAGTCGTCCGCGCACCATGGCCGGTCTAGGGCCACCTTCCAGGCACTGCGTCCACACATGCACATGCAACTCTCACTACGGCAATCCAAACAATACAACATTAAGTCAAAGCAATCGAATTTAGTCTGATAATTCTGTACGAAGTTAATTTTAAAAGGGCATCTTGTTGAAAGACCCATTGTTTTACTATATACAGCCACCAACTGTCCACTCAAGACAGTTTGCAGCCATTCTAGATATGTGTTTGCGTAGGATAGAAAACTGGACACATAATCTACTTAACTTTCCTACCGTCCTTGTACATCTTACATTTGCACTGTGTCTGATAAAAAGACTGTGCTGCAGTTACTGTGATGTAAAACGTTAGAGAGAAGAAACAAAACGAAGGGGACAATGCAAGCACAACGGCTAAGGTGACGCTTGCGTTTGTGTTGTCCGCTTCATTTCGTGTCTCCTCTCTAACTAGCCCAATATCTCACTTTGCTACATTGTGTCTCTCCCAGAATGATCAAAGATCGAACACTGTGCACAATATGCCGACGCTTTTTCACATCACTGACCCTTTTACATAGCGAATAAAGTTAACCAATCAGTCACTACACCACGCAATAATACCCGGAACTCAAATTCTGTTATTACTAAATTATACATGTTGCTGGGCAAGTTGGTTGACATCAAAGAGAAACTAGCAAAGTAGTGCAATCTAGGAAATGAAGACACGAGAAGAGTACGAGGAAGCACGAATGCCGAGGTAGAAGGCAAAAAGCGCTCGGCTTTTAAAAACAATATTGAAGGCAGCCTTTCTTAGGTTATTTGAATGCAGAATTTTTCGTCTGTCTGCCTGTATGTCTGTCACATTACTCTCATTATTCAGCTAGCCAGCCACAAAGTTTAAGCAGTGGCGGAACGCCCAGTCATGTTGAACTGAGGCTGTGTTGATATCAACATTGTCGATCAAAAAGCGAATATAACGCAAAGCTGAGGCGCAACGTCAATGCGTATTCAGCAGTGTGTTTCTTTACTACAAAATGCATAGATACATATTCATAAAAGTTCAAGTATTTCTTACGCTACGCTGAAAATGCGACGCTAAGCCAGGCAAAGCCATTTGCCGACGATATGTTGCTGCCACCTGGCAGGACGAAAGCGGTACGAGAAAAGCATCACGGGCGGCCACTGAGGAAACCGGGACTAATGTAGTGCGGCCGGCAGAAGATTATCATCTTTCGGCATTTGCAGTGAAGCAGTTACGCGGCCACTTTTTTTTCTTCGTATACTTCTTTCTCGAGTGTTTGTTTCCTTGTTAGAACTAATGTGTATCCCTTTACGTTGTGCAAAATCAGGGCAAATAGGACGAAACACTCTGGACTCTGTCGCTGATTTATACAAGATGCGCTGATTTTACACAAGATGCATCAAATCAAACTCACCCACCCCTCTACCTTAAGGCCATTTAATCACTCTGGGCCCTGGGTCAACTTTCAATAACTTTAAAAACACTTTCCTTTGTAGTGGAATTCTAGAATAGGCCGGAAATATTACTGGCTCCTCACCAGCACGATGCTGCTGAGCACAATGAGGAGGGCCACGAGGAGACGGAACGCGCGGTGGCCCGTCAGGGCTCGGGCTCGGCGCTGGGCCGCGCGCCAAGCGTTTCTCGCCCAGCCAGGGCCCCTGCGTGTGAGAAGACGTGCGTGCCTGTTGTGAAGACAAGAGACGCGAGAAAACACGTGACAGGCATACGTGCCTCAATAACAAGAGCGTGCTGACATTTCATGTAACGACAAGTAAAATACAGAAACTTGTATGTTAGGGTGCTTTTACAGGATCTTTACTATGTTTCTTGCTTACTTATTTACTCAGCGCACTTACTTCTCTGTGGTGGGAAGTGTCTGCGTCCCATTGGCGAAGGGTTGCTGCGAATCGCGCAAAAAGAAATTATCACTGGGAACAAAAGTTTTAAAAAAATCGCCGCATTCAATGTGCGATCTCTAGTCACCATAAAAAAATATATGCAGAGTATTAGTTTCACCTGTCACTTACGTTAGGCTGTTACAAATGTTTGAAAAAAAAATTAACCTCGAACTCAAATTATTTGACGCATGTAGTTACAAGAAGTAAAAGAGCATTTGCTGGAAAACTTTTTTTTAACTGGCAAGCATCCACGCATTTCTCCAAATATTCATTTTCCTAACACGAAAATATACGAATTACTCTCTGACATATGGGCTATAATCTCTTGAGATCTATGTCACTTACGTCGGCACTCATTTGTATACAACAAAACATGACATTTAGACGTGATTGTCTTTCAGTCGAAATATTAAGTAGATTTTCAGAGACAAAACTGGTAGTTATGTACCGTGAAAAACATTTTTAGCCGCATATATGATCATTTCATAGCAATCGCAGTTGAACTATAGTCATGCTGAGCCAGAGCCTCGCACCGACATCGTGATTATCAGCCATGCATAATTACCGGGTGGTGATAGTGAGACAGAGAAAGAGAGAAGTAGTGCTCAATTTCCCGAAAAGTAGGATGTTGCGGCTCTCAGTCAAGTACCACGCTTGGTCCGTAATCCAGGGTGCGGCCGAGGTGCACGGCAATGTACCATTATCCGCCGCAGCATAGCCAGGATTCCGAGTGGGGGGGGGGGGGGGGGGGAAGAACCGTGGTAAGTATTGTGATAGTGAGTTTAGAGCTGGGGAATTCTGAAGCGAGAAATGGGAGCATTTGGTATTCTATTCCCGCTTGACACGTATAGCTGGTGCATGTGCGATTTGGCATTCCCACGACGTGGATATGAAGTGCAAACAGCAGTGAGAACAGCAAACCTAAGGCGGCTTCTCTGGAGCCAGTTTCTCGCACCCGCGCACAGCTGATACGAGATATTCAGTCGCAACACTGAAAGTTGCTATTGGTGTCGATGGCTCTTAAAGGGGCCCCTGCAACACGTCTTCAATTAAACGACGAATTACTACACTTAAAGAACTTATCAGCTCAAGAATCGCCTGTAATTTTTTTCTAGAATCTGAGAAAAACCGAGCGGAGTGGCAGGAATTTGTCGCACGCTCTACGAGTGCTTTCTCCTTCCATTTGCACCAGTAAGCGTGCTGAAAGCTACGCAGGAGAGTGACCCGTGGTCAATATGCTACGAGCGTAATCAGCGCGCGTCGTGACCCTGAGCTTACTCTCACTACGACTGCGAGCGCGCAGCATGGGCACATCGCGCCATCCTGCGGCCGCCGCTGTAACTGTGCAGCTGACGTTGTTCGAAAATCGGCCAACGGCCATGGACTCTGGGTTACTGACGCGGTCATTTCGGTTTACGGCATCACTTTAGGAGAGAAAAGCCAGTGATTTGTAGCCGACTTTCAAAATTATTTCTAAATTCCTGGCCGCGCGCTACGCTATAATGTTTGGCTCACATGTTCTCAGGGGCCTCGATTAAAAGGAATAAGCAGCCTTTCGCGACAATTCTCAAGAAGTGTAGAATGGCCTCTTTATATTTTCACCCCTTTAGGACGAAACATGTGATTTTCTTACAGCTACTGCGGTGTGGTGTATAGAACAAAAGTCAAGTGCGAGGGCATTAATTAAGCCAGCACCCTGAAAAGTCTCATTACTTGATTTTTCATTGCCAGCCGTGCTGGTTTTTCGCGTCGTTTTCACATAATTATGCAAGCCAATGCACGCATACCATGTTATTTCAACACAGAGCAACATCACAGAAATCTAGAGCAAGGCTAATGAAAACACACCCATAATCGCTTCCAGCTGCGCTTGCAACACGACTTGCAGTTAAACACAATCTTCTCGAAGAGGATCTCTCCAGGCGAGTTCTGCGCCGAAAGACAAAAAGAGCAGCTAAAGCCAATATGGTAGTTTTTGTTTGTTTTTATGCGGATTCTTTCTTAACGCACTAAAGGCACTTTGAGAGTTTCTACAACGTATCTATCTAGCCACTCATGTCTCGGTGCTCTCGAGATCGCCTACTTAAGTTGGGGTAGACCTTATTAGTAGGGGGGGGGGGGGGATAAGAGGGTCTGAAGAATATTTGGCTGGTCATATGACATGAATAACAATGAAAATTTCGTCGCATGCATCGTCAAACTTTTTCCTCCTGACACGTGCGGCACATACCCGTATACCGTGGCCCACCGTATGGAAATATACGCCACAAGTGATTGACAATTTATATAATGATGATCAGGAAACAATTATGTATGAGAAAAATAAAAGTTCAACAGATCCCACGTACCTTGGGAATCGATGTTATGCGAAGCATGTGGATGGAAGGGAGATGTGTTTAATTTTTTTTATTGAGCGAGACGTTATGAAGTGGCGCTAAATGTATGTACCAATCCAAGCACACACATATTAGCAGTTGTTTATAGTTGCGTAATGATGCCAATCAAAACATGGATACTAGCAAAACCACAAGTGGCAATCTGATATGAAGCGCTGGTGTTTGCACTGGTGCGCGCGAAGATGGTAGTCTTCAACACTGCTACGCAAATCCACTTGAGCGGATGGTGCCTAACTAAAATTTACGCTAACCCAAAATGACGGCGGTATCATAGGAGTACATATGTAATGTTCATAAAATCGTATAGCCAGTACTCCAACCACAATTGACATTACACGAACATTAGGGCCTATTTGAAAAGTGTGTGCGAGGCCTGGCGTGGCTCTGGGGTAGAATACTTGATTGCCACGCAGAATGCTATGGTTCGATTTCTGGTGAGATACCGAGATTTATTGTTTGCATTCGTCCGGCCAACGCCGATTATGGCAGCATTTTCTTAACGCTCAAACGTCAAGTTATTCATGTGTGTTCTCACCGTTCCTGCGTAGCTATAAAATGCCCATCACCTGTGGCCCTGTATCACCAGGGGCGAGCATGCGCCACTGGTATACTCTCATACCGGTGGCAGATACCCGCCCCCAAGTACGTGCCACTGTCATTTAGAAAGTGTTTGTCGACGTACGCGACGAGATTGTAACATTATTCATATTGTGACCAGCGCGTCGTATTCGTCAAACCATCAAAGACGACTGTACCTCCTTAGGCTTGTTCGGGCATTCACATGTGACGTTCTGCAATATCGGTCTCGACTCGCACTACGGACGTTGGTTCGCATATGTATTGGGATTTATGTGGCGCAACGTTTCCAAACCTGGATGGGTGTTAATCTGAACTTGTCTAAGGTGGCAAGCTTCCCCTTTAAGTGATTCGTGTGTTGGTGCCTACCGCTATCGTGCCTTACATTGACGCTCGAGTATATCGCATGCAATGTAAGGTTCACACTGATTGGCAATTCTTATCTAACCAGGAACGGCGAGAACAGACATTGCATGGGCGTATCCAAGGGGGGTTGGGGGTTCAACACGCCCCCCATAAAAATTTTGCACGTACACGCAGGCTTAAAAACGCACGCACGAACATATATAAAGTGTAGTGAAGCAGATGAATGCTGCTCGAGGAGGCAGTGGGTACTTGCCAGGACGAAAAGAAGATGACGTTTCGCTCTCTCAGCGTTTAGCCTAAATCCGGCATTACGATGCCAGTTCAAGAGGCTGTTATTTTGTCGTATAAATAAGTGCTGCTTCCAAACGCCTTATTTTAATTGGTGGAGGTGCTGGGTACCGATAATCCTGAAACTTCGAAACCGTACGCTGCCTCTAGTTGCTACGATGTGCACGGATGAAGATCAGCAGGCTGCTGCCTCGGCTCTAACTCTTTCGGCTCCTGTCGGTCCCTGCCCTATCAAGCTGCGTAACCCGCGCCTACCTTCAGTGGCACTGATGACAAAGACGTGGAATATTGGCTGGATGAATACGACCGGGTGAGCAAGCACAAAAAATGAGATGATACGCACAAGCTCACCGTCGTTTAATTTTATTTAACCGACGTTGCCAGTTTGTGGTACCGCAACCACGAGAGGGACCTTCACATTTGGTCAGCCTTCAGAACGGCGTTCGTGGATTTGTTCGGCCGTCCAGCGGTTCGCAAGCTACGAGCTGAACAACGCTTGCGTGCTCGTGCCCAGCAAAGTGGTGAGAACTACACCAGCTACATTGAAAATTCGCCCGACCTTTGCTGGCGCGTCAACCCGGCCATGAAGGAGGTCGAGACGATCAAGCACATCTTGACAGATGTTACTGACGACGCATTTCAGATGTTCGTCGCTAAGAACCCGCAAACGGTTGCGGACGTAATTCAACTTTGTCAAAGTTACGACGAAGCTCTGGAAAAAGCGTGAATCTACTCGTTGCGCCATTGCGTCGTACGCAACGATTTCCGGTTTAACGTCGGACGACCATAATGCCTTGCTCCTCGAGATCAAGCAGTTTGTACGCGGAGAGGTCACACGCCAGCTGTCCAATGTGCTGTATACCGTTGACGGTGCACCATCTACCTTGCCGATACACATGCAGCGAGTCGTTCGGGAGCAAGTGTCTGAGGTGCTACCCGCCGCCAATGTACCAGCTGTGACTGCTCCGCTGTCTTACGCCAAAGCACTGACCGCCCCACGACGTTTGCCCGTCGCGAACTACGTCTCCGCGCGCCCCTATGCCGCACCACCTGAACCTGTACATCCGGCCGCCTGCCCGTTTACCTGACCAACGCCACGCATTCAGAACCCATGGCGCACTCCAGACAACCACCCTATATGCTTTGCCTGTACTTTTGCTGGCCACGTAGCGCGGTTTTCTCGAAGGCGTGAGTTTCTTCTACGTGACGACGTCCGGTACAACGCTTACAATTTTTCCCCTCGACCTGAGCCTGCTTCATCTGGTTCGCCTGCCGCTATGGACACATTTCTCCATCATCGCAGCTTCAATAGACAATGGCCGCCTTCACCATAGCGCCGTTTCGTTTTCCCTATGCTACGTCGCCCTCGTTCTGTCCCTGAGCAATACTAAAAGCCGCAGTTCTGGAGGAGAGAACTGTGGAGTTTTCGAAGTTTAGAAGACCTTGTTGTTCGCCTCTAATGTTGTCGCTGTCTCCGTTGAAGGTATACCTGTTTTCGCATTGGTCGACACTGGCGCCCCAGTGTCTGTAATGACTGAGAAACTTTGCCGTAGACTAAAAAAGTAACAACGCCTCTTCACGACTTCATTTTGAGTACAACGAATTGCCAACAACTTCGCCCTTTCGCCGCGTCTTATTCAAGACGTCATTTATGCCGTAGAGTTTGCTGTGCTGCCACAGTGTTCCCATGACACTATACTTGAATGGGACTTCCTCTTCACTCATCATGCTGTTGTCGATTGTGCTCGGGCCGAAGTCGAATTCTCGACGTTATGTGGCTAAGCTTCCGTAGATTCGCCACCTTCAACTGCAAAAGTTTTTGTTGCCGCCGATACAGCAATACCCCTTTCTCATCTGCGCTAGTACAACTTTCTTGTGATGTCCACTGGCTCCACCGTTCTTTTTACACCGTCTACAACCACTGTCTACCGCAAGTGCTTCCCGATTCCTTTCGCCGTTCTCACTATTCACGATAAATCAAGTTAAATTTATGCAACTAATTCGTATTTCTCGCCTTCCGAATTACTGTGTGGAGAGTGCCTATGCCTTGCCGAAGTGTTGATCTCTTGAATGCACAGGCCGTTCCGGAGTATTCGACTCCGCTTCCAATTGACGCAGTTGCTTGCTCCGCATTATCCTCTTGACGAATTCCACTGGGAGAGCAGGAGCACTAGAAAGCACGCTGAAAGTGCTCCCTTTGGAGCCGGCGTGTTTCAGTGGTTGAGCAGGTGCAGGAGCACTGTCATCCATTGGTAAAGCGAGAGTGCTTTTGCACAGTCTCCGCATTTTTTTTTGCGGAGACGTCACAGTCTCCGCATTTTTTTTCAGCCGGCGTGTGCGGCGGTAATGGTAGCAACCATGTGTAGTTTAAAACCATAGTTTTTCTTTCCTCCATGTTTGAAATCACTGTTACGCTGTTTTGTACGGGTGGCAGCTCGAGGGCTGCCGAATGCCTCGTTGCACAAACATGTTATTTACTGAGATAATGAAGAACAGGTGACTGACCGATTTCACGCATATTTTGAGGCAGCCCCGCAGAGAATATGCCGGGCTTTGGAATGTTTTGATTCCACAGTCTCCCGACTCGTCACACTCTCACCTGCTCTCCGGGAGCGTGATGCATTCCAGTGGCTGTACGAGTGGCCCTGCACACAGTGCTCTGCCTCCCACTCCTCACTGCCCTGCCCCTCTATACTCCTGCTCTCTCAGTGGAATTCGCCATCTGAGCCGTCATTCACGGACACACTCTCTCGCTGCATCGACTACAACCTTAAGGCCCAGCAGTGTGCAGACATTATCCCCCTCCTCGAGCACCTCTACACAAGCTTCGACCACAAGCAAGCAACTTGTGGCCGTGCTTTCAGTGTGTCTCGTCAAATCGACACTGGGATTCACGCACCTTTACGTCAGCGTCCATATCGTGTGTCAGCGTATGAGCGTCAAATCATCGCCGAACAAGTTGACGACAAGTTGAAGCGCGGCGTTATTGAGCCCTCAAACAGCCGCTGGGCATCCCCGGTTGTTCTAGTGAAGAAAAAAATGGCATAATATCTACGGAGTGAATGATAGAGAGTGGGGCGAAGCATCCGTTCGTCCATGCGTCCGTCTGTGTGACCATCCGTGCGTCCATCCGCCCATCCGTGCATGCGTCTGTTCGTGCGTCCACACGTCCATCCGTGCGTCCGTCCCTGCACTCGTCCACGCATCCACCCCTGCGTCCGTCCAAGCGTCCATCCGTCCGTGCAGCCATCCGTGCGTCCGTCCATGCATCTGCCTTTGTGTCTGTTCGTCCATCTATTCAACCCTCCAAGTACCACCATCTCGCATCTTTTCATTATATATTCCCCATGTAGAAACACCGCCATCCAGCGGACATTTCAAGGACTAAACGAGAGGTGGCACACGCACACTTTTTTACAACTTGCGCTTCGTGTCTACTTCCCACCTTTAACCACCTTGAGTTCATGGTATATACTAGTTCACTGTATTCATGGCACTGCGGCCCAACGCTCGCTAAACCTTTCTAAAACCAAGGAGATTACGCCCAGCGAGTATAACGTAGCAACCCTTTCTTGTCAGATAGTGCTCAATGTACATGCCAATGGCTGCTATTGGGGAATGAGAGACAGGAGAATTCGTCTTTTAGTTAACGCGCACGCTGCGTTTTTTTTAATTGTTCAACAACGCAGAGGAGGAATCTCCCACCGGCACCACCTTGCAGGTCAAAACGTAAGACTGGTTACACACTACGACTGCGACTACTACGAGGGACGAACGGGTGCCGCTTTAAGGAGCTTCGCCCCTAAAGAGATGGCTCAATAAGATCTTGCGTCGACTACCACCGGTTGAACAAGATCACCCGCAAAGATGTTTACCCGCTACCATGCATTGACGATGCCCTCGACTGCTTACAAGGAGTTACGTTCTTCTCGTCACTAGACCTTTGCTCCTGTTATTGGCAGGTTCCGATTGCTGAAGCTGACCGCCCCAAAACAGCTTTCGTCACCTCAGATGGCCTATATCATGTTAATTTTAGGCCATTTGGGCTATGCAATGCGCCTGCCACTTTCGAGCAAATGATCGACAACATCCTCCGTGGACTCAAATGGCAGACATGCCTGTGCTACTTAGACGATACTATTATATTTTCGAGCGACTTTTCCCCACATCCTCAGCGTCTCGAAACAGGGCTCACTTGCCTCGCCTCTGCTGGTTTACAGCTCAACTTGAAGAAGTGCTGCTTTGGCACTCGACAGTTTCTAATTTTGGGCCATGCCGTCTTTAAGGGAAGCTTTCTTCCTGATTCAACTAAACTGCGTGCTGTTGCAGAGTTCCCTAAGCCGAAGACGTTGAAAGAACTTCGCAGCTTCCTTGGCCTATATGCTCTTATTTTTGTAGCTTTATTCAAAACTTCGCCTCTATCATTTGACCCTTGACTGAACTTTTCCGCGGCAACCACGACTTTTCCGGGTGGTCAACGGCATGTGACGATGCCTTCGCCGCTCTCCGGCGCCCTCTTACGTCCCCTGCAATATTGCGACATTTTGATCCACTTGCCCCGACAGAAATCCACACGGGTGCTAGTGGTGTCGGTCTCGATGCTGTGCTCGCCCAGCGTGAACCAGGATTTGATGAGTAAGTCGTCTCCTACGCCAGCCATGCATTGACCAAAGTGGAAGCCAACTACTCAGTTACAGAAAAAGAATTATTCGCCATTGTATGGCCCATAGGCAAGTTTAAAGCCTATCTTTACGGGCAACCATTCAGTGTGGTTACAGACCACCGTGCCTTATGCTGGCTTTCCTCGTTAAAAGATCCCTCTGGCCGACTCCCCCGCTGGGCAATTCGTCTCCAGGAGTACGACATCCACGTTATCTACAGATCTGGGCGCAGACATTCCGACACCGATGCTTTGTCCCGATGACCCCTACCACATAATGGCGACTTGCCGCCTTCACCAACCCACCATGGGTCTTCATGACATGCGTCTGGAGCAACAGAAAGATCCCTGGATCACATCACTTCTGATCTTGCAGAGTCTTCCTCCCTCGCGAAACATCCCTAGAGGCATGCGCCGTCAAGTACAGCACTTTGTTGTCCGAGATTGTTTGTTATACCGAAGAAATTACCTCTCTCAAGGACGCCGATGGCTCCTGGTTATTCCAAGACATCTCCACTCGAACATATGCGCTTCATTTCACGCCGACCCACAGTGCGCGCATGCAGCGTGTTAAAAACTTACACCCGCCTGTCACACCGCTACTACTGGCATGGAATGTATCGCTTTGTTCGCCACTATACGTCCAGTCCTGTGTCGCTTGCCAGCACCGGAAGAATCCAACACCACGTTCTTCAGCTCCACTGCATCTCTTACCTTGGTCTGCCAGACCCTTTGACCACGTTGGTATTAATCTGTATGGACCCCTCCCACTCACACCTTCTGCGTTGGATAATTGTCGCTATTGATCATCTTACGCGATATGCCACAACTTCACCATTACCTTCGGCATCGGCTAGTGACGTTGCTTCTTTCACATTACATCGCATCATCCTAGGCCATGGTGCTCCACGTGAGCTGCTCAGCGACCGAGGGCGCCTGTTTCTGTTGGACGCAGTTGAATCTCTTCTCAGGGAATGCCAAGTGATTCATCAGACTACCACCGCGTACCATCCTCAAACAAATGGCATTACATAACGATTCAATTGGACATTAGGAGATATGCTATCAAAGCCCGTCGCCTCCGACCACTCCAACTGGGACCGTATTCTCACTTTTGTGATGTACGCCCATAATACCGCTGCACAGGCAACACCTAGATTCTCTCCATACTTCCTGCTTTACGGTTGTGAGCCCTCTTGCATGCTAGACACCGTCCTGATGTTGCTGAGTCGACGACGGTGTCGCAAGCTGCTAAATACCCAAAAGAGTGTCGCCAGCTGGCCCGCTCCCTCACTACTGCTGATCTGCAATGCCAAAAGCACCACTGCGATACCTCGACGCCTCCTCCACCTTACGCTCCTGATGACCTTGTCTGGCTTTGGATCCCTTCAAGCAGCCCTGATCTCTCAACGAAACTTCTATACAAATATTACGGACCCTTCCGTGTGTTCAAACAAACATCACCTGTGAATTACATCGTGGAGCCTCTTGTGCAATCCTCTGATCAACGATGTCGTGGACGTGAGACTGTTCACATAGACCGCATGAAACCGTACCACGACCCATCTGTCGTCTCGTGCCCCTAAGTCGCCAGGATGGCTTTTTTTTTCAGGGGGATGGGAGGGGAGAGAAAATGTAGTGAAGAATATGAATGCTACTCGAGGAGGCAGCGGGTAATTGCCAAAACGAGAAGAGGGTGCCGTTTTTCTCTCTCGGCATTTAAGCTGGATCCGCCTTTACGGAGTCTGATAAATAAGTACTGCTTCCAAACGCCTTATTTAAAAAAGTAACGTTGAAGCCCCCTCTGAAAAATTTCTGGCTACACCCCTGAGACATTGATAATTTTAACACGAGAGCGTAATAAAAAACTGACACTGGCAACTTTGACCCGATGATGCTCAGAATACGTAACAGGGTTCCAGCAGCAACCGAACCCACACATTGTGCGTGGTGATCAAGTATATACCACAGAGCTAAACCAGGCTTCGGATATACCTTTGAAAAGAACCCTAATGTTCGTGAAACGTCGATTGTGGTTGCTGTGTTGGCTATCCAATTTTATAAACATTAGATACGTACTCCTACAATACAGGCGTCACGTCGTATTAAGGTCAGTTGTAGATAAGCGCCATTCATTGAAGTTCGAGTGCGTAGCACTAGCCAGGGCTACCATCTTAGCAAGCGCAAGCAGTACATATCAGCTTACCGCTTATGGTATTCGTTATTTCCACGTTTCCATTGACATCGTTGAGCAACATCAAACGACTGGTTAAATAAAGCATGTGCGACTCTTCGATTATTCGTTAGCTGCCAGCTCTTAATGAGATCACGTGCGATGTGACGAAACTGAGAGAAAAAGGCGTTTCCACACTCGTTGTCAAAGTTACTGGCATGGTACTCTCACGTTTAAATGCCATATGTACCCCCTGAAATGAACGAAGGGATGGCCGCCACGGTAGCTCAGTTGGTGCAGCGTCGGACGCGTTATTCGAAGGTCGCAGGTTCGGTACCTGCCCGTGACAAGCCGTTTTTCGTGAACTTTTTTTTACATTACATTTCCCACTAATAACACACACTCCTATACTTTTCTTGGCAGTGTTGTCTGTTGTTGTTGTCTGTATTTCGAAATAAAGTGGTTGGACTTTAATAAATAAACTCGAACCTACGTGACCATGATTCGTTGTGGGCCGTTTTCCAACTTATCGCAATACTACATGGACTTAGTTATTATTTGTTTAGCTGAGTTGAGGGCTTGTTTATCTTCAAGTTGCATAGCCGCACCGTAAAAGGCTTCCCGCCCTTATTGGCTGATCAGGGTGAAAGAAATTGATTGATTTGTGGGGTTTAACGTCCCAAAACCACCATTTGATTATGAGAGACGCCGTAGTGGAGGGCTCCGGAAATTTTGACCACCTGGGGTTGTTTAACGTGCACCCAAATCTGAGTACACGGGCCTACAACATTTCCGCCTCCATCGGAAATGCAGCCGCCGCAGCCGGGAATCGAACCCGCGACCTGCGGGTCAGCAGCCGAGTACCTTAGCCACTAGACCACCGCGGCGGGGCCAGGGTGAGAGAAAGGCAGGAGGGACGTGGCGGGAGGCTATCCACTCGGTGCGGGGCAGCAGCGTTAGTTGAGGACAAATATTCGCTAAATATACGCGATCGGCCAGGGAAACCCGATGTGCGCACCCTCTCGACGATGCTGTCGACGTTGAAGCTGCTGAGCAGGAAAGCGAGAAAGACGTTGAGCAGCACGTAGTTGCCGACGAAGAAGACAGCGCTGTAGAAGGCCACGCACCGCAGCCTGCCGTAACCCTCGTGGAAGCAGTTGACCAGCGGGTCGAACATGTCGCCGCAGAACAGGCGCACCATGAGAAGCACGCTGTGCATAAAGTCGTGGCTGTTCCACCTGCGCCAAATGGAGGAGGGCATCGCAGAATTCGACAATTGTTCATTCGTGGACTGCATATATACGTATACTGTCGGCAGTGCTCGACGTTGATGGGACTCTGATGAGCAAAGTAACTTTTCGCTTATTAGTAAAGTTCAATTTCGCAATGGCAAAATACGACTTTTACCCCGACATGAAGCTTGCTATAAGTGAGAAAACGTGCGAAAATGCGATTGGAGACGCCGCTTTGTGATTCCCGCCCCAAATACCATGACGTCACAAATTTTGAAGGTGTCTACTTGGGGCTACGTAGGTTCTAATCGACAAAAAATGAAATACATAGTCATCTGTGAGTACCACATGTACATCTAGCTTACGAAGTTGCATGAAATTTTATCGATCAAGTTGCGGAAATACGAAAAAATGCATTTTTAAATTTTTGGCTCACGTGCGGATATTTCGGCGCAAAATTTAGAAATGAAACTTCAACTTTGATATTGTCCGCAAATAATTACTTTATGATAGTGAAATATATGGCAGTAGAGTTTTTGGAGTGCAGTTTGTCAATCTAAACGAAGCCATTGTTTCTCTTTAGCGTCCCTTCAAAAGACGTCAATCGGCCAAGTCTACGCGGCTTGTAACTCCATCGCAATAAAAATTACCGCGGTTGTACGAGACTACAGGGCGTGTTTGTCGAGTGACCGCTCGGATTTTCGTGCTTTACGTTTCGCCAGAAAATAATTCATTTATAGGTAGGAGCTCTCGACATGAACGCACAGTGAACTGCAGCCGTGGTGTCTCTTGCGGTGGCCGCATGAAAGACTGGCCTTGAGCGCTGCCGCTAAAGACAAACAAACTTGGTTGATCCCACCGTCATAATAATCGGTGTAACACGTAAAAGAAAAGTCTTCCGACAGTAGTATAGCTTAAAGTTCACTGTACGTTGATATAAAATAGCTTATACAATATCTGTTGGTGTTCAACAGCTAAAGCACCGTTTATATGTAAATGCATCCATCAACGAAGTAAAAAACAGCGCGCAACGCAGGACAGTGACAGATACGTCTCTGTCACTGTCCTGTGTTACATGCTCTTGTTCACTTCGCTGATCATGTACCAACCATCCTCAATAAGCACTTTAGTACAAATGCATCCATGTTGATGCTCAGTGATACATTTCGACCCCGACGACGGACGTCCATGATTACTTGTGGAGTATTGATAAAACATGCTCTTCTGGTCACGATGTTTGTGGTAGCTGTGCTAAACGATGAGAGCGGAAACAAAGAAAGCGGTGCGACTGCCAGAAGAGCGTGACTGTTCGTATAAAGGGCTTTTTTTTTTCTAGGGGCGAAGCACCTTAGGGCGTGGGTGTGTCCATCCTCCGTAGTTATATGGCGGTACTTGGAGTGTTCACTAGATGGACGCACGGACGGACGCATGGACAGACAGACAGACTAGCAGACGGACGGACGGACGGATGGGCGGACGCGAGGAGTGGGTATGTGCCACAGGCGATGTGAGATGCCAGATGGCGGTACTTGGAGTGTTCACTAGGCGTACGCATGGACGAACGGACAGAGTAGAAGATGGATGGACAGACGGACGGACGCATGGATGGACGCACGGATGGTCGCGCGTACGGACGGAAGCAAGAACGAATGAATAGATGGAAGCACGGATGGGCTGACGGACGTTTCGCCCCTTTCCCTATCATTCACTCCGCGCATGTACTGCTATTTTTTTTTTAAATCACAGCATATCCATGGAGTGAATGATGATGAGTGGGGCGAAGCGTCCGTGCTCTCGTGCGTCCGTCCATGCGTCCGTCCGTCTATCTGTCTGTCCGTTCGTTCATGTGTCCGTCTGTCTGCCCATCCGTTCGTCCGTCCATCTAGTGAACACTCCTAGAACCGCCGTCTCGCATATTTTCATAATATATTCATTGTATAAAAGTACCGCCATTCAGCGGACATTTTAAGGACTAAACGAGAGGTGGCTACTAGGATGAAACGATACGTACGACCCACAGCTAAACCACGGCGTTAGGAGCTTCGCCCTTAAACACCGCTTTGGTTCGTACGTCAAAGTTCTGATCAGATCACCTTCTTTCGGCTTGTTAGAGTACGCATTGCGCGTTGTGGCTTCTCTGTTAACCAGCCACAATATTTTGCGGTACAAACGTAAGCGGGAAACGCGGAGTTACATCCAGACTACAGTGTAAAATACAAACAGTTTAGTTGGGGACGTGTGTTTGTATCTTACACCGTGGTTGCAGCGCAGAGCTATTTTTGGAATGTATGGATACTATGAACTACGTCGACACTTTGGGTAGCGTCGGCACCTGGCGGTGTGTTGAGACGTTGGCAAAATTGTCCTTCCCCGATTGGAAACGCGCTGACTGGTACATGCATGCAAAAGCGACGCGTTGAAGTAACTTATCATAAATGGCACGGCGATAATGCATAACTACATTTAACGACGAGCACTGTGAGAGGGCAGTGGTAGATATAAAAGACGTATTTGTTTTTTCATCCGCAGAGTATATTGGATAGCGTGCCCGGCAGCTGTTGACGCTGACTGAGAGATCGTGTGTTCGATTCCCGTTGGAGGGATTTTAGTCTTCTCTTCGTGTGTATTTTTTCGGCGTCATTTCTGTGACGGAAGAACGTCACTGTCTTGGTGGACCCCGGCATAAGACACTTTCGTGTTAAAGGGTGTCTTGAGCCACTGCTTGTTTTCACGAACACGCAACCCTATCTCACTGAAGCTTTTTGTGTCCGGCGTTGCGACGACAAGCGAAGTGCGTGGAAGCGCACGCGGTGAACGCGCTGATAAGCTGAAGAAACGACGGCGTGTACTCGTAGGTAAGAACATTGCGCCATCTCACGGGCAGTGTGTAAACGATTTCCTGAAGAGTGGACGCAGTTCAGATACGCTGGCGTGATTTCGAGCAAGCTTGGAGTTCATATTCACGAAAGCAGCCCCCCGCCCCACCCTCTTTTTTTTTCTTTGTGGGCGGGAGGTGTATCTGAAGAAAAAAGCTATCACCCTAAATGCAACGTGCTCCTGGAACCAGTTCTCTTTTTTTTTTCATTCATTCAAAACCAGAGCCTCCCCTAGGTACACCTGCGAAGGTTATTTGGCCAACTGCCACCTCGAGTACGTGACTTCTGCACAGGAAAGCGCAGAAAAAAGGATAGCTGGGCTACGGTTGGCCTGTGTTCATATTGGGACAGCGCAGAGACGAATCACGAAGGAAGACTGACGAGTCACAAAGGAGCTAACGTATTTGGAGAAGACGTATAGGCGCTACATGTGTAGATTTTTGTCACGTGCATAGGTTGCGCACGCATGTTTTGTTCTTGCTTCCTTTTCCTTTTGTTTCGTTTGAACAAAGCAACCAGTTGTCAGAGCACTCGTGTCGTTTAGCCTTCCCTCGTGATTCTTTCTGCGCTGTTCCAAAAAGGGAAACACCTTCCGTGGAAGATCAATTGGTAGAGCACCCAATGCGTAATCAAGGGGTTGTGGGCTCGGGTCCCACTGACAGCAAGGGCGATTTCTCGTTTACTTTATTTCATTTCAACTTACATCACCGTTACTACGCTAGATTTGAACACAACAATACACTTCCTCTACGCTTTCTCTGGTCTAAATGTCGATTGGATCTAGCAAAGACAACGCAAGTTACACGAGGGCAAATTGGTCACCGTGACACCGGCTTCCGGTCTCCAGAGTCGAAGATGTCCTCGGCGGCTACGGCGAACGCTACGACCACGAGCATGATGACGAGCAGCAGGTTCATGAGCGGTTTGAGCAGCGACAGCATCATGTTGAGCATGTAGAAAAGCGTGTCCCAAGTGCGAGCCACGTACACCAGTCGGAAGAGGCGGAGGAAGCGAGTGCGGACGCCCACTTCGTAGCGGAACAGCACCAGCAAGTCGGAGGTGATGCTGCAGACCACGGCGCCCAGGTCGAGGACCGAGAACTTCTTGTGAAAGAAGGACCAGCCCCGTGCTGATAGCTTGATCGTCATCTCGATCAAGAACGCCACGCTGGCCGCCTGCATTACGGTGTTGCGTGCTACGAGGCGAAGTTTCATACGTGATTTAGAGTACGCGTCCGGCTGGCGACAAAGCCGACCACGAATCGCAACTTTTGATAGAAGGTGATGAGAGCTCGGCTAAAAGTTGTGATACGCGTTGCCCTGACATATTTCAATTAGTCCAAACATAATAATTCTTGCTTTCAGACTAGTCTATGCCTCACTATAAAGCGCTTGGTGCACGAAATAAGAGACAGAGTTGCACGTACATTCGTGCCTGTGTCAAGGGTTTGACGAAAACCGGTCGGGCGAAACAAGAACATGGCTGAAGTAAACGTACATGCGCTAATTGAAAAAAAGAACATACACCAAAACAGAATTTCTTGACGTTTTCTTGTCTAACACTGGTGCTTTGTTCACACTGAACGAAATGAAAACCGCCATGGATTTTAGTTGTTGTAAACAAGGCATTCTTGAAGAACAACAAAACGCGAAGCAAGTATTTTTTTTTATTGGTGAAACTGAATTTTCTTCAGAAAAAAACGCTTTCTTAAATTCAAATACCAGCAATCATTAGCAAAACAAGGTGACAAGGAAACATTGACAGCATATGAGTGAACGATGATGAGTGGGGCGAAGTTTCGCAGGCTCTCAACTCATCCGTTCGTCCGCCTGTGTGTCCGTCCACCATCCTATCAAACTAAACCACACGCAACACGCGTCCACGCCATCTAGTGATCACTTGAACATTCTTAGAAGTAAGGAGGGGCTACGGAGGATGGACTGAGCGGCAGCGTAAGGAGCTTCACCCCTATAAACTAGGTGTGATTTAGATTGTCACTCCAATCTCATGCATTTTATGTTAGCTACGTTGTCCCTAACAGGCGGATTCTTTAGGTAGACAGCGCACACTCACTACAGATCGCAATGCATGCCCAATACGTAAAGGACGGATGTCGGGAACGAAAGCTGTAAATGACGAGCTGTCGACTGCATGAAATCTTTACATCATGTCATGCTGTCTGTGTAACCGGTGAGGGGCCATCACGTGCACGATGGACCCGGTACGTACCATGTTTCCCCAGGTGAGCATGCTCTTGAACTGAGCGTTCGCGTAGCTGCCGTCCAGCGCGAGAAAGAGAGTGCTGAGGATGATGAGCACGTGGATGGTCAGGTCCAGGATTGGGCTCTTCTCCAGCTCCAGGCACACCAGTCGCACGGTGGCCCAGTCGGCTGCGTGATGGACCACGCCATCTGTTATCACTTCTCAGCTCCACTATGCGCGACTGTACGCCCGGTACACCCGACTGCTAAGAAGTACATTTACATTGCAAGCGCATCGGGACACTTCGTTCCTTCCAATGGCAAGACACGTGTAGAACGTTTGTCTAAAACGACGTTATGCGCTTGCAGAAATAATTTGACCGCTCTGCGAAGGGTTCCTCGAAAATTTTCTAGTATAGGTCGCCGTCAGCCTTTCCATGCACCGGGTATTTCTAAAACTTAGGATACCTAAGAAGTTCGGTCAGGCAAGTAGAAAGTCGTCTACGTCAAATGCTGTTTCGCTATTGTCAACTTTTGAAAGATTTACGGTCGCGCAGAGTGTGCATGTCTACATGTGCCTCAAGGTCATTGCGACGCGACGAACGACCTTTGGAGACGTAGAGTAGCAGAGCTTTCACTTTAATATTGTACTCGGTGTCAACACACAGCGTAATTACTTTCTAAAACTACGCGTTAACTTTAGCACAGTCGCCAGACAAAGCAAGCAACATCTGTCAGCGTGTACCTCGCAGAGGAATGTCCACTCGAGAGCCCGAATGCTGGCGACGTTGGGCTCGAACGGCCCCCTGCGTGCAAATACGAGCAATGCGGCGTTAGTAGTCTCCGGCTTCAGTGCTCAAGACTACGTTCGACACCGCTTTGACAAAACTGTTTTGACAAAGACTTCCAGCTGTGCCCCTGTCACCACGTCAAAGCGGAAATTAGACGTTGCATAGCCGAGAAAGCATTAAGAAGTCAGTATTTTCCGTATTGGCTGAAAGCGGTCGCTGTATCCGAAGAACCTTGAAGTACTTATTTCTTCCTAATGCTTTCGTCATGTTTTTAATGAAAAATCTCCGAGACATGCAAGTACACGCGTTTTTCAGTGCGCGTGACCAACATGCCAGAATGCTTCTATAAAAAAGCCCCATTATTAGGATTCTAGAAAAAAAAACTTTAAGACTGTGCCGTTTTCAAATCGTGGCACTGTGAATGTTCTACCTGAACACTGTGATCAATTTCGTAATAATAGTGAAAGCAACGTTGGTTAACCAAACCAAAAAATGAGAAAATATCAATTTGGTTCGCCTCCATGAACCGCTCAGTTTGTCTACTCGTATTGACATTTTGCTTCCATCACTTTGGCGCGTTTTCAGATACTCAAGAGAAGCTGTAGCAGCCATGTGAATAAATCATAGCTGACTAGGTGAGAATCATAAAATGCAGCGTATAGCGTAACAGTGGACAAGATGGCGTTCCTTTTTTCAAGAATCACTGTCCGCCTGTTCTCGCATAACGTCACGTGCTCACGTCCTTTCGCATCAGTCACATGGTCCCTTACACATAAGCTTAAGACGGCTAAGAGTTGAAAGCCATCTTCTATTAGAGCCCCGCTGTGGTGGTCTAGTGGCTAAGGTACTCGGCTGCTGACCCGCAGGTCGCGGGATCGAATCCCGGCTGCGGTGGCTGCATTTCCGACGGAGGTGGAAATGTTGTAGGGCCGTGCGCTCAGATTTAGGTGCACGTTAAAGAATCCCGGGTGGTTGAAATTTTCGTAGTATTTTACTACGGCGTCTCTCATAATCATATGGTGGTTTTGGGACGTTAAACCCCACATATGAATCATATTCTATTACGATTGTACAGATGCACCCTGAAAGCTTTCTACGGCCAACGTGCTTGCGTACTTGGAGGAAGGAAAAGAAATTAAGGAGCATTACGTCACGCAGCAAGCCTTGGCAAGCCAACTCGTTTTGAAGCCAGACGTCATGTCGGTGACCTTTCACGGTGAAATCACGCAAGCAACGAGACTTGCCCAGACTTTGGGGTGTGGCGCCAAGTAGCTTTTATTTACACTTTTAATCAAAACGCGCTTGTTCGGCGCAGATATAGGCGGCTCGCGCAGGAAACCTCAAACAGAACGCCAGAGAGATTACAGAAACCTACCGCACGCTTTCACGTTTTGATCACGTGTGTGGGCCGACACGGTGGGCTTCACCTCGTGTGACGTAGTGCTCTTTTCTTTTTTTGTCTTCCTCCGTGGTTGCGTTGAGCCTCTGAGCGCGAAAGCTCTCTGCACTTCACATGGTCGTACACGGTCTCTGTTGTATCTACGCACGTTTCATTTAGTTACGACACCACGTGATGACGTTACCATGTGACGCCATAAGATCTAGCGACCTGTGACGTCACGATGGCGTCATAATGTGACGCCATAGCATTTTTTTTTGCATTACTCGGATTGACGCCAACGCCGCCCACGGCAACCTTTCACGTTGGTAGAGGAATTCGAGACTTTCGCCCTAAACTATATCGTCACAAACTCTCCAGACGCCTCGCACTGACGATGCGTACCAGCACCGGTGCAGCTGCAGCAGACAGCGGCTGCTCGTGGGCGTCCATGTGCTGCTCGCGTTCGCTGGTCGGCCGCTTCGGGGCGCGTGTGGCGGCTCGCAGCAGCGGCCGGGGCGCATTCGCCGCGTCCACCACCATGTCGGCGAAGGCACCGAAGCCCAGCTCGCGCGTGAGGGCCTCCCCTTCGCCGCGTCGAAGCCGCTGCTGGAAGCGCAGCTGCCGCACCTGCAGCAGCCAAACACGGGCAACCACATATACTTCTAACTTTACAATGAATACATCATAACCACAAACAAGAGGGTCGATATCGACAAAACGAGAGCTGTAGGTCCTTTCGTGCGGCCACTGTTCCTATTTCAGCCCCACCGCTAGCATCTAGCGATAAGTAGGAGCACAAAATGAACACGACTTCACCAACCAAACCACTAGTTCAGCTCAGCCTCAAGTAAAATGTGTGAAAATCTTGTACGAGGTTAACCCAAATGTAGCCGATCGTGCAATGATTTCAGTTTTGCAAAAATATGCCCAACTGGGCTGAGTCGTACATCATTATGACGGGAACAAACAGCGATAAGAAGGCGTGACGCCTGTTGATGACTATTCTGTTGTGCCCTCACCGTCCATACGTTGGCGCTCTTTGCCACCACCTATTGGTTTCTGTTTACTTCATTTGCGGCTAATGCTTGTAAAACCTGTTTTATTCACAATATTTAGTTCATTATTCGCAGCAAAACTTTCAACAAATCCTTCCTACTAACTGCTATTTAGATATGGTACACGCTACCCGAATATATAGTTGATTAACAGGACTCCAATAAACTTAGGCACATACTTACGTGTTTTTGAACTCTTAATCTCCCACTGTACTCTGTTGTTTCATGTAGTATACTTTTGTGACTGTATTTTTAGAACTCTTTTCTTCCCGTTTCACTGTCATTATATTTCGCTTTTCGAATCCTGTTTACTGTATTTTTTAAATCTTTATTTTTTTATCTGCTTGTTCGTTTCTTTGTACATAAATGACCATGCTGTTATTGGGGTTTTTGTCACCCCCGCCCACTTATGTAATACCCTGAAAATGGCCTTTAAGAGTAAATAATAGTAATGCTGATGATGGTGACAAAAGACGAAAGGCACCTTGTCCGCACAGATGCTACATAAAAAAACTTTTTTTCTGCCTCAACGGAGAAAATAGTTTTATTTCAATTTAGCCCCCTCCCCCTGTGAAAAGCGTGTTTTCCAAAACCGCTGCAGGAGGTGTTTGCTTATAGCGGGGATAGTGATAACGTTCTGAGTCTCAGGGTACGTACACCGTTTTAACTTTCCAGTTTTCGATATACTCATTCAATGCGAGGCATCGTGCGTTCATGGGCGTGCGTTCATGGGCGTTCATGGGCGTGCACAGGAAGGTGAGTGCCGAAGGTACCTTGTGGGCGCTAGGTATCTGAGCCAGGCTGACGAGTGGCTGGACATACAGGTGGTCCACGTTGACCTCGAAATCGCTTATCTCTTGGAAGAGCGTCAAGTCCATTAGAGATCCCTGATCCATCTGCAAAAAAAAAAAAAGGAAGCGCATCAGTGGACCCACCGATGCCGTGGCATTTTTCAAGTTGCATAAGCTTGCACATTGTAAATTTTCAGTGGGTCATTTCCAATATAGGAAGCGTGATTAGGTCCTCGCGCAACAAAATGACACGGTTGTATGACATGCTAAAATGGCACAATAACGACAGGACATTAGCACAGGCAGAATGCCGATGAGGCTTCCCTGAGAAATAGAAAATTAAGGCAGCGATATTGAAGCATTCTTGCGGGAGTATCAAAAGGCTAACACGATATTCTATGGTGCACCAGCTATACTGTACGAGCATACGTTCTTCTTTCGTCTCCAATGTATACGTGTAGACTACCCAGCTCTCTGCAAATACTATCGCCTCCAGCAACACGAACACGAACCACTAACCACGGAAGCTAAGAAGTAGAGGGAGTGTATCGGTCACTTGACTACTCATGGAAACGTGAGTTTGATTCGCCATCAAGACATCTGCCTGTCACTATCATCCCCCTTTTATTTTTCTCTTTTTTGTGACATAATAACTTGCAGTCGACGCTAAAAATACGCGTGAAAACGCAACATCTGCAATTATGACACTGGCTTCAACGGAAACATTGACAGGGGAGAAACAAAAATGTAATTTCTAGCACGTACTTTTGTCACGGTAACTATTGTTCATCAAAAAAATAGCGATTTACTGCAACGATTGACAGCACAGTCTGGTCGTACAAAATGGTGCGCTTACGCGTTAATGACGCGTAAGCGCATTAACGTCATTAACTGCTATTTAAAGAAGGCGCGTGAATTAGCCAGACGATCGAGGTAACGTTTCGCGGAGTTCTGTAATCAAAGAGCATTCCCCGACAGAACCAAGATGACACCGCATCGAGAGCAGATTAGAGGATCGCCCGCAAGTCCGGTGATAAGATATCGTGATCTGAGAGGCGGATATGTACAAGACCATGACTCCAGCTCGCACACCTGTTGCCTGCGAGCTCGCTTGAGGTTGTTCTCCAAGACGTAAGTGTGCACGGTGACGGCAAGCATCAGGTTAATCAGGTACGCCGAACCGAACATCACGGTACACAGGAACAGCGGGAAGCACGCGGGGCCGACAGCCTGCAGCAACTGCACAGACATGGAACAAAGTGTAAATGCACAGTAAATGTCGTGGTTCTGTAGTGCCGCACGAAAAGGGAAAAAAGGAGCTAACGACAAAGCGCAGTGAAAGTCATAAAAAACATGACTGATCCTTCTTTCTAGGAATTGATATAATACTAAAGTGAAACGCGTCTTTACATAGCTAGTTCTGCGTTTATTCATTGTTTCGCCACATGGGTGAATGAATGAGTACTACAGCAACAAATTTCTAAGTCGCGCGAATAACGGCAAGCAGCTGAAAACTTACAGCACTCACCTCGACCAGAAAGCACGCTCGAAACTAGCATACACAGGACGAGTGCGGACTAACACTGGTCACGGCTCGACACTGAAAGCGCGCTATTCAAACTGAAAGAAATACACACAACAACGAACGCACAAGCACGGCCGCCTTTATCGGGCACGCGCCCATCCAGGTGACCGTGGCACAAGTATACACAGGACAATCGCGAACAACTGCATCAATTCTTACTGCTTCGTGTGCGAGCAGCGTGCTGCTTCCGCAAACGCGGCCGCGGCAGCGAGCGATGTGACCTTCGTGCACTCCGAAATCGCGAGTCTGATAAGCGCGTGCGCAGGCGACCATGCTCCGTGGAGGCGGTGCGCACCGAAACGCGAGAGGCGATGACTTAACAAGTCCAACGCTACTCAACGCGACATCTTCGCGCCAACTCGCTGCTGACGGCGAAAACAAGCCGAAGTTGTGGAGCTCTGACGACCACCAAACGGCATATGATGTACATAAATGGCTTGCCATTAGCACTTTTGACAACGCACGCTTTGTGGCTTGGTGGTTACTGCCGCGCGCTGCAGACCGACAGGTTAATGGTTCGACACGCCACGGCGATACCTTTTTCTTGTCGTTTTTCTTTGCAATCTGTTAGTATATATTTTACAACGTCATATTCGTGAGAAAAATACGTCAGCGGAGTCGTGAAGGACCCCGGAATAAAACACTTCCGTGTTCAAGAGTTCTACAGCATGTTCTTCTATCTGTAACACTTGAAGGTGAAAGCTTGCTTCAAACATCCTAATCAAGTTATACACTCAAAAACCAGACTTCTTACAAGGCATAGCGAGCCGCAGTGTTAGATACACACATTAAACTACCTTGACGTTCTCAGTCGATAGAACACAAGAATAGCGTACAGGCAACTGCGAGATTCATCGCACAATGCTTCTGCCGATCGGCAACGACCATGGTCTACGAAACGAATACCCCGCACGCAACACACAACAAAGCCCACGAAGCTGCCTGTAAGGCGTGCTTCTTCCTACAACGAGTAATAGTGCAAAGAAAGCGCCAATACAGGAGCCCAATACGGGAGTCTGCGCATGTTACTCGGGTAGGGACACGCTATAGAAGGGATGGCGAGAGAAACGATACAGCGTAAACGCGAGGAACAGGAGAGGAAAGGGCGGGGAGGGGAACATTAGACGCACCATGTTGTAGGGAATGTTCCAGTTGTCGAGGCTGAATATGTTGAAGGTGGTGAGCACGGCGTCCACCACGTTGTCGTAGGATGGGAACACACGTCGCTCCTCCACCACGTCTACCGTCACGCACGAGAAACCCGGCTCGCAAGCACTGCACAATCGATGTTGTCAAAACAATGAAAGGAGACAAGCGAGCGATGTTTGACAACCAATTCGCGCTAAACGTTCCAATGACTTCACCGCCTGGCAGTGCTCTTTCAGCATACAGCGGTGGTGATGCATATAGAGACGGTGAAGTTATCAATCAGAAATTAAACTTTGGAAATTTAGTTATAAGTTTGAGTAATAAAAAGATTTGAGTGCCCTGTACTTCTTTATTTGTCCGCATCTCCAGCGCAATGCCCTTTCATTAGGAAGCTGCTTGGTTGTCAAACACTCGAATCTTACTGTCAAAGGTCATTTGATGTAGAATAACGCATGTAAGGAACGTGCATACAGGCATAAAAATAAAACAAAAAAGAGGGGCATGAAGTGGGCCGTTCATATCAAGACCCACATTTACATCAAGCAGGAGTTGCCTAACTATGATGTACGTAATAACATTGGGCTGACTTCTGGCCATGTTGGTACGACACAAGCAATGAACGTATATTCATCAAGACGGCACAAGACAAAAAGGACATACACAGACGCTAACCTGCGTGTCCTTTCTGTCTTGTGCCGTCTTGATAAATCTGTGCCCAGCACTTAAAATAGTTACATAGCCATTCTTGGTGGTCTCGCACTGCTCATTACGTCCATTGTTGAAGTGAAGATGGAATCGGTACTTCAGGACTAATTATAGCCTTGTTTCAACAGTAACACCTCGACAACTACAATTTGGTTTGCCAATACAAGCCAACAACGGGCCACATTAAACACGTGTATTTTAATAATAATGCATCAAAGCAATGGTAATTTGAATATTAACAAAGTAACCTAACGAGCGCATCAGGCTTCGGGGTCCGATGTCTACTTCGGACAGACAGCACTCACTAGGCAGCCAATAGGTTCCCGCAGGGGAAGCCCAGCCGGTCGCGATCCTCGTCCTTGTCGAAGCCCGTGCGCATCCAGAGGCTGCGGTTGTTCGCCATGTGCTTGTACAGCTGTGCGTCCACCACACCCAGTCGCTCGCTGCTCACCACACAGCGCCGCTTCAGTACCGACATGAACATCTGCGTGGGGCGAGTGAGTCAGACAAAACCTTATTTTTCAGCGTTTATGGAGGTTGTGCATTCGTCAGTTGTTGCCCAGCGGCCACGTCCACCACTCTAAGGAACGCCAGGAGCTGCATCTCTAGGCTAATCGTGTTGAGAGTTTTTTTTAATTTACCTAAACTGAAGTAATCAGTATGCTTCTACGAAATGCTGAAAGTTTTCGTTAAATCTCGTCACAGTGACTCCTGCGCAATTTCGCAAACCTAAGTGCCCGGTTGGGTCAATCGCGATGTCATAAATTTCTATGAAAAAAACAACAAAGAATGCTGCTTAAAATAATTCAATGTTCTTGGGCATAATTGACCCTTCTCAAGAATAAAAGCAGAGAATTCAGAAAGTTCGATACGGTGGATTACATTTCTAGTGAGTTTCATTGCTGCATGCTGTTTGAGCATGAGTAATATGGGCACAAATTTGTTGGCACAGGGAATAACGACTGAGGAGTGACACTTTCCTGTAATAGTGAGAGTCGAGACATGACACGCGCAAATGAGACGTCATGCAGCGCACCTGTAGGCCGAACGTGGCGAACACCCAGATGCAGAAGAACAGCAGCACAATAAGCTCCAGCATACGCGTCGTTGCCTTGATGATGGTGTTCACGATGTCCCGGAGACCTGCTCGGGACATCGAATTTCAATTAAGACTGCATTCGTGGACGTATTCTATACTGACCAATCAACCTTCCTGCGTATGGTAAATCTCGGTGTTGCAACCGATACATTGTGCTCCCGTGGGCAAGTTCACCTAATAGTTGGCATCTAACGAAATCTGCGGATTGAGATACGATGCTCCAGCTACAAGACAGCCCCCTGCGATTGTTTCGAAGCGAGAGAAACCGTAGTGTGCAGCACTTCGAATCTTCGAGACTCATTAACCAAGCGATTGTAACTCGCTGCACTTGGAATTTCGTTCTTTCTTTTTCTTTATATTTATGACCCCCCTAGCGAGGCGTCGCTCACATGAACGGAGTCAACGCACGCCAAACAAAATTGAACAGCGTGTTCTTTATGTTGATGCACCAAAATTCGCTCTTTAATATTTTATCTCGCATACGTGTCTATACTCGGCGACAACTTTCTGTGGCAGCACAGCCAAAACTACGAAGACCTAGCACGCACTTTTTCCCTACGCTTCTGCATGTAGTCTTCCAAGGCTAACTTTTGTATACTGCGTAGCATAATGAAAAATATCGAAAGAAAAGATGTAAATATTATGTTCAAGATTGTTCGCATTATTATTTAGAAGCATCAGCCGTGTAGGTTTTCGTTCTTTGCTGCTTCTAGTTTTCAAGTTTCCTGGTGCCATTTCACCTTTTTCCTGTCCCGGTTAACAACGATAGCGTCACTTGGTTCCAGCAAGTTCACATCCAAGCTTATAAGCGAGTATGAGTGCGTGTTCCTCAGGTGATGTGCATTCATCGAGCAGGTGAAAACGAAGACAGTGGTGCGTCGTGAAATATTTTGTTTCCCGCGCATGCAATCACCGAGTATTTGTGTGAAAATGATATTATCAGCGGAAGTGGGACTCTAATCACTATATAACCGCCTTGAAAGTGACACCGGAGACCTGCCAGTCTTCAGCAACACCAGCTGCAAGAAAAAAAGTGAGATTGGAAACTGTACGTAAAACCACTGAACCTCTTTCTAAATTGCGTTGCATATGTGGTCGGTGGTTCAGCTGCCTAATATTGTTGATACGATAACGCCGAAGATCGCGTACCATAACACCACTCCCGTCAGCGTCTACGGAGGGAGTCGTTCTTCGCGTTTTTCCTGGGTAACAGACGCGTTCATTTATATTACCCTGTTGACTGTACAAAAATGGCATTCTTGGTCGAGTAAAGATAGCGTTTTCCCCACTTGGATTTACAAATGTCATTCGCTCGCCCATGATTGATCGGTGCCAAGATTCCCGCTTCCCGTCCTTGCCTTCGCGTCCCCTAAAAAATGACGTGAGCGTCTCTAGAAAGGTCTTGTGTCTCTAAAAGAAGAAAGACAATGATGCCGACAAAGTATGCACTGAAATTTAGAAAATGATATCTTGGCTTTACTTTGTTTTAATCGCCCAGCACCTGCTCGAGCGCAGTTTTCTTTTTCTAAAATAAATCTCAACGCTTCAGAAAAAGTTTCGTGTTCTTTTTCTTAAAAATGAACATTTTAGTTATTTCTTCTTGTGAAGAAGAAAACGCATCGTTGGAAAACAACATCGCCACCGCTTGGGTACTGGGTGCTTGGCTTCGCTCGCTCGGCTCGTGCTGATCATCGCTGGCATCTGCTCGACCGTTGCTCTTGCCCGATCGTGTTTCATCGTAGGACTACCGTCGCAACAGTCGCCAATAAACCCTTTTTCAATTGGTGGAGGGTGCTGACATTCCCCGTCGCCTGAACCTGGGTGCTGCCATTCGCCGTCGCCTCAACCTGGAGCTGCGCAACCGAACGCTACCTACCATCATGGCTACCAACAACGCGCAACCTGGCTCTTCCACTCCATCCCCCAGCAACCCCGGCGTTCTTCGTTTGCGAGAGCCCAAATCTTTAGCGGAGCTGATGAGACTGACGTGGAAGACTGGTTCGCTAACTACGAACTGGTGAGCGCGAACAACAAGTGGGATGACGCGGACAAATTGACTAACGTCATCTTTTACCTCACTGACGTAGCCGAAATGTGGTATAACAACCACAAAAACGACATTACGACGTGGTCCATCTTCAAAACGTTGTTTGCTGACGTTTTTGGCCGACCCGCTGTCCGCAAGTCCAGAGCCGAACAACGCTTGCGGACTCGCGCACAAAAGCCAACGGAATCTTTCACAAGCTACATCGAAGACATCATTGGACTTTGCAACCGACTGAACACCACCATGCCCGAGTCGGAGAAGATTCAACACATCCTCAAAGGGATAAATGACGGTGCATATCAGCTGCTCCTCGCCCGTAATCCTGCCACCGTTGCGGAACTTGTTACTTTGTGCCAAAGTTTCGACGAGTTGAGCAAGCAGCGCGCCCTGACTCGGCCATTTTCCTCACACGCCGATTCGCTCTCCAGTCTCACTTCCGTTCCCGACCACTCGCCAACCCTGCAAGAGATTAAAGACTTCGTGCGTGAAGAAGTAGCTCGGCAACTGTCGTTGATTCCCTTCACGCAGCAGCCGCCGTCCTCTCGTCTGCCCTCACCACTCCGCGACGTTATTGCCGAAGAGGTAGCTCAGGCTGTTCCCGTCGCTGCCCACCAGCAGCCTGTGGCCGTGACTGTTCCCCATGCGCCGGCTATGCAGCCCGTGGCCGCGCCTCTTACTTATGCCCAGGTGGTACGCAGCAGACCCCGCCAGCAGCTTTTGCCACCCATGCCTGCAGTTGCTCCCCACTCTACCCCTCTTTCGACACCTTGGGCTGCACCGCGAGTCAGCAATTCTTGGCGCACTGCTGACAATCGACCGATCTGCTACGCCTGCGGTACTCCAGGACACGTGGCACGATATTGTCGTCGTCGTTTCCAATCGCAACACAACGCTACTTGGCCGTTACCGTATGACCCGCCGCCTACGCACCTACCTGCTCCCTATCCTTCACCGCAGTATGGCTACACTACTCTTCCCGGGTCTCAGTCACCCCAGCCCCCAGCTCCGACTCACTCTTCGCGCTCGCCGTCTCCTCGCAGGCGATCTCTGTCCCCAATGCGTCCCCGACCCGCTTCCTCCAACCGGGAAAACTGAACGCCGCAGTTCCAGAGGCAAGAACTGCGCCGTCATCGAAATGCCCAAGTCCTCGCACTTCACCTGCTAACGTTGTCGCCATATCTGTCGATGGTGTTTCTACCTTTGCCCTCATCGACACAGGTGCTGCCGTTTCTGTTATAGCCGCCCAGCTCTGCCGCTCCCTACGCAAAGTGACCACGCCGCTCTCTGGACTATCGCTTCGTACGGCGAGCGCACAGCCAGTCAGACCTCTCGGCACCTGTACAGCCCGCATTTTCATCCAAGGCTCTATGTACGTTGTCGAGTTCATCGTCCTTTCGGTGTGCTCGCATGACGTTATCCTCGGGTGGGACTTCCTGTCACATCATCATGCCGTCATCGACTGCGCACGCGCTGAAGTTCAATTTTCGCACCTGTCTGACGAACCTTTGCACGAAACTCTTGAGCGGTCTCCAAACCTCGTCGTACGTGAAGACACTGAAATTCCGCCAGCCTCTCTTGCCGTTGTCCCTGTTTGCTGCGATGGCCATAACGACGCTACAGTAATGTTTACACCTTCCGACATTTTCATGAGCCGCAGAGCCGTTTCCTTGCCTTTCGCTACACTCGACGTCACTGCGGGCCGAAGCAATATTTTCGTCCACAACCCCCTTTCTGCACCGCTTACGCTACTTGCCGGCGAATGTCTCGGTCGAGTGGAGTACCTCGATTCCTCTTTATTCCTTAAGATGCCAGACGAATCGTGCAGTAGCGCCTCGACCGAACTTCATGCCCTTTCCCCACTGGAATGCTCATCGAGTGACACCTTCTCGAGTTCCATCGCCGACACCTTAATAAGTGCCCATGAACGCGCCGAGCTTCTTAATCTTCTCCAGCACTTCGCGAATTCATTCGACGTTTCTCAGCCGCAATTGGGTCGGACTTCCGCAGTGCACCACTACATTGACACCGGTTCGCACCAGCCATTGCGTCAAAGACCGTACCGTGTCTCTTCTACAGAACGTCACGTCATCAACGACCAGGTCGAAGAGATGCTACGCCGTCGCGTTATTCAACCATCGCACAGTCCTTGGGCATCTCCTGTCGTTCTAGTTCGAAAGAAGGATGGATCGATTCGATTTTGCGTCGAGTACCGGCGATTAAACAAGGTGACGTGGAAAGACGTCTATCCATTACCGCGCATCGACGACGCCCTTGACAGCCTCCAAGGAGCCGAATTCTTCTCCTCCTTAGACTTACGATCTGGATACTGGCAGGTTCCTATGGCAGAAGCTGATCGCCAGAAAACTGCGTTCATTACACCAGATGGCCTGTACGAATTTAACATAATGCCATTTGGGCTTTGTAATGCTCCTGCCACGTTTGAACGACTCATGGACAACACACTGCGTGGACTGAAGTGGTCTGTGTGTCTATGCTACCTCGACGACATTGTCGTTTTCTCTCCCGATTTTCTTACACATCTGCTTCGGCTCCAACTGGTGCTGACGTGTTTAACCAACGCTGGGCTCCAACTGAACCTTAAAAAGTGCCGCTTCGCCGCGCGAGAGCTGTCCATCTTAGGGCACATCGTGTCCGAGGATGGTGTTCGACCCGACCCTGCAAAACTGCGAGCAGTCGCTGAGTTCCCGAAACCTACTACACTGAAAGAATTACGCAGTTTTGTCGGACTATGCTCGTACTTCCAGCGCTTCGTGCGAAATTTTGCGTCGATCATGTCACCACTGACCAACCTCCTACGCGGTGATGCAGACCTTTCATCCTGGTCTTCTGACTGCGATGTCGCGTTTGCCACGCTCCGTAGTCTGCTAACATCTCCTCCAATTCTTCGGCATTTCGACCCAACAGCTGCAACGGAAGTTCACACAGACGCTAGTGGGGTTGGTCTAGGCGCCGTCCTCGCCCAACGCAAGCCGGGCTACTCCGAATACGTCGTCGCTTATGCGAGTCGCACACTTACTAAAGCTGAGGTCAATTACAGTGTCACTGAAAAAGAGTGCTTGGCGCTAGTGTGGGCGCTTCGCAAGTTCCGCCCTTATTTGTACGGTCGCCCATTCGACCTGGTAACGGACCACCATGCACTTTGTTGGCTCGCCACATTAAAAGATCCTTCTGGCCGCCTAGCTCGGTGGGCACTGCAAATCCAGGAGTACGACATTCGTGTCAGCTATCGCAGCGGACGCAAGCATTCTGACGCCGACGCCCTGTCGCGTTCGCCTTTACCTCCCGACTCGGCCTGCGAAACCACTGGTACCAACTCCGTCGCATCTCTCGACCTCGACTCCTTTACCAGTGAACAACACAAGGACCCGTGGATCGCTTCTCTTTTTAACTGTCTCTCTGAATCGTCAACCACTGCGGTACCACGATCTCTCCGACGTCAAGCTGCTCATTTCGCCATTCGTGATCGGCTGCTACACCGACGCAACTACGCCCCCGAAGGTCGTAAGTGGCTCTTGGTTGTCCCGCGCAGCTTGCGATCACAAATCTGCGCCTCCTTTCACGACGATCCCCAATGTGGTCATGCCGGAGTTTTCAAAACTTACGAATGCATTCGCCATCGCTTCTACTGGCGCGGAATGTATAATTTCGTTCGAAAATTCGTTATGGGCTGCCCTGACTGTCAACGCCGCAAATCACCGCCTTTCCATTCGTCCGGTGCGCTTCAACCGCTTCCGTGCCCTGCCAAACCTTTCGATCAGATCGGAATTGATCTCTATGGACCTCTACCGACAACATCAGATGAAAATCGGTGGATCATAGTCGCTGCGGACCATTTAACACGCTACGCTGAGACCGCCGCCCTTCCAAGTGCCACTGCGCGGGACGTAGCATCGTTCATCCTTCATCGCTTCATACTACGACATGGTGCACCTCGAGAGCTACTAAGCGACCGAGGTCGAGCCTTCCTATCAGAAGTCGTCACGTCTCTGCTTTCTGAATGCCATGTTGTTCATCGCAAGACCACTGCATACCGCAAACTAATGGGCTCACGGAAAGATTTAACCAAACCCTTGGCGATATGCTCGCCATGTATGTGACATCCGATCATACTAACTGGGATCGCATTCTTCCATTCATCACGTTCGCATATAACACCGCGGCACAGTCTACCACTGGATTTTCACCTTTCTTTCTTCTTTATGGACGCGAACCATCCCACACCATCGACACTCTCCTTCCATACCGTCCTGACGCATCCGAATGCCCATCTGTTTCCGAAGCTGCCCGCAATGCGGAAGAGTGCCGTGAACTCGCACGCACCTTTACGTCACAAGAACAACAGCGCCAGAAAGAAAACAACGCCGACTCTTCACAAAGCCCCAGCTATTCCCCGGGATCACTTGTATGGCTGGCTGTTCCTTACCAAACCCCCGGCATTTCCTCAAAACTCGTTCCAAAGTACGAGGGCCCATACCGCGTTTTGGAGCAAACCTCGCCGGTGAATTTTCTCATCGAGCCACTTTCCCCATCTGACGACATGCGCCGGCGTGGACGTGACATCGTCCACATCGCCCGCCTTAAGCCATATCATAGCCCTCTGCCTCCAGACTCTTAGGTCGCCAGGATGGCTCTTTTTCGGCGGGGGCAAATTGTGAAGAAGGAAACGCATCGTTGGAAAACAACATCGCCACCGCTTGGGTACTGGGTGCTTGGCTTCGCTCGCTCGGCTCGTGCTGATCAGCGCTGGCATCTGCTCGACCGTTGCTCTTGCCCGATCGTGTTTCATCGTAGGACTACCGTCGCAACAGTCGCCAATAAACCCTTTTTCATTCTCATATAAATGTAAGATTTATTGCATAGTTGCTGTGCGAAAAGTACACGTTAAATGCGCTTGTGAAAAAAAATTACCGGAACCCTCCACTACGGTGTCTCTCATAATCATATGGTGGTTTTGGGACGTTAAACCCCACAAATCTATCAAATGCGCTTGTGAAACCGAAACCGAAACCACATGAAAACAGATTTGGCGGAGCGTTTGATACAGGGACACATGTGCAGAACATCCGCCCACGTAGCTTTAGCTGTGCTGCCACAAAAAGTTGTCGCCCAGTGTAGAACATTATAGTAGGCAAATAATGGATCATATACTATAGGCTCAAATTAGTCGCGTCAAGTGCTAATAGATCCCAACGGAACAGCTTTGAACCAGGCTATCTAGCACTGCGCTACACATCGGGACTGACAGATACATCCATTTAATTGTAAAAAATTCAGCAGAGCGAACCCAAACTCTACTTCGTGTTCGTCGACTGAATTTCGAGTGACTCTTTCTGGCGCCGTAACATGGTAAACTGTAGTAAAAGGCTCCACGGTTGAATGACTTTCCTTGGCTAAGAACAGTTTCGTGAAATGAAAAAAAAAAACGCAAGAGTGGCGTTAACACCGATTCGGCCCCGCCGCGGTGGTCTAGTGGCTAAGGTACTGGGCTGCTAACCCGCAGGTCGCGGGATCAACTCCCGGCTTCTACGGCTGCATTTCCGATGGAGGCGGAAATGTTGTAGGCCCGTGTGCTCAGATTTGGGTGCACGTTAAAGAACCCCAGGTGGTCGAAATTTCCGGAGCCCTCCACTACGGCGTCTGTCATAATCATATGGTAGTTTTGGGACGTTAAACCTCACATATCAATCAATCAATCAACACCGATTCGACAAGTACAGGTATTAGCCTTCGCACACGTACTGAAGCACATCCTCGCTCTGCATTGGTACTGTGCACCGTTTCTTTTTTTTTTCTTAGTGAGACGTATTTGAAATGCGACGAAAATATTTATCCCGAAATCGCAGAAAAGTGGATCTATGTGCCGGAAGGTTCGTACGTGGCGATGTGTTATCTCTATTGTTTATTCCAAAATGTACGGTCACATCTGCAGTTCGATTCCTCTTTAATTGACAACCGATACAATACTACTTGACGGCCAGTGATTAGGAACGTGATTTAAGCTTGCCGCCGTGGCCAAGAGTAGAATAAGCTAACACCACCTGGACCCGGATGTAAACACACACAAATGATTGAGAAGGCAGCCGGAGGGTTATGCGCAGCTGCCAGTACGCACAGCGTTGTACGAGCAATTCACAAGGTGCGAATTCGGCTCTCAAAAGCGGCAGTTTGCCTTTTATTCTACTTTAGTTTTTCTTCTTTCTATTTCTAGTTTTCAATTAACCCATCGATAATTTCCCGTACGTCTGACTCGGTTTCAAAATGAGCTGGCTTTATATCAGTGTAACCAACTATAGCTCCTTGATTACACTACTATTTTGTTTCATGACAATAGGCACTGTAACAAGACCTGCACCTCAACTTCTCTACTACAGCGACAATTAAAGACTGACTATAAACATACCCCGGTAAACTTCGTGCGCAACTTGTCAGTCCACTTTCGAATTCGCATTGCTCAACGCCGTTCCATCTTGCCCGGCATACTTCTTACGACACATGCACTATACATACACAACCAATTAAAAGCCGTTTTTCAATCTTTCCTGGCACGCGCAAAACGTGCCGGCGCTGATTATTGGATTACAGGAAGGTGGTGCAACCACTACAGGGACGTCTACGTAAACGCAGATGTTTGTACAAGACATCGCTTCATCTCGTTTCCTCGAGCTACGTAAACACGCGCGAATACAAACACACGGCACTACGGCTAGCGCACGACAGCACAACAGACACGAAAGAATGCCGCCATGCGGTGCCCTGTTGATACGGAAGTAGCGTAGCCATTACGCTAATATGCCCTGCTTGTGGTCAGTTCGCCCGCGGAAAGAAAAACATTCCACAGGCGCGCCAGAACCTTGAACAGTGGCACCATTTCCATGCAGATATTTATACGCACACTCCCGACACCCTCTAACATCCCCCCTCCTCCCTCCAGCAGGATTCCGACACCCCTCCCTCTTCAAAATTTTCTTCAAGCCAACCTACCCCTTCTTCGCACCTTACAGATAGCCACCCTTTCACACCCCCGGCGTCCTGGCACTACTGCCCTGAAGCCAAAATTCTGGATAATCTTTTCATCCTGCACGCGACTTCAACCCTAACAACAACATATCTCCCTTTCCACCGCACACACATATTCTACTCTAAACGAAGCTAAGAAAATTCGCCTCCTGTTGATAGATCGCAGTTTCCATGTACCATGCCATACAAACGACAACGTTGTTAGAGCGGAGATATCGTGCGTACCCAGGAAGACGGTGAGCACCTTGAAAAGGCGGAAGGGCCGGAATGAATTGAGTATCTGTAGCTGCGCGCCGAGCCCCACAGCAGCGCCAAACAGCTCGATGGCCCTGTGCGAAGAAAGGAAGCAATCATCGATGTACTAAATGCATAGTCTTGGACATTGTTAACTGCCCCGAAGAATGGCGTGCGAACTGATAAATATTGTAAATGTAAATAACGAACAAACGAAATCCATCACATTCCAGATTGACCACAACGCGGCAGCGTAGGCTGATTCGGGACTGGCAATCGCCGTGCTGTCAGCGTTATAAAGCCCCACGCACCACGATCTCCAAGAGCGCGTCGACACAGTATGGCAGTCTCTCCTTGCGACGCCCCACTCACCCGGCGCAGGTGACGACAAAGTCTAGACAGTTCCACAGCTCGCTCAGGTAGCTGTACTTGTGCATCACGAATCCCCTGGCTGCCGCCCGGATCCCGATGTCAATCGTGAATAGTGCGAGGAACAGTGAGCTGCAAAGCCCATAATGCATTGTAATAGCGTACCACTTTTGTTGTTGTTGTTGTTGTTGTTGTTGTTGTTGTTGTTGTTGTTGTTGTTGTTGTTGTTGTTGTTGTTGTTGTTGTTGTTGTTGTTGTTGTTGTTGTTGTTGTTGTTGTTGTTGTTGTTGTTGTTGTTGTTGTTGTTGCAATATGGACACTGTCAGATGGTTACAATGGAAAAACCACAGCATACCTACGGAGTGAATGATGATGAGTGGAGCGAAGCGTCCGTCTGTCCATTGCACTTCCGTTCGTCCGTTCGTTTTTGCTTCCGTTCATTCGTCCATGCATTCATCTGTGTGTCCGTCTATCCCTGCGTTCGCCCGTCGGTCGGTGAGTCAAACAGACGGACGGATGGACGCGGCCAGCGGATGATTCGTGGTTTGCCGATAAAATCCTCCGAAGCCTCGTCCAACTCATCACCCTTCACTCCGTGGATATTCTGTGAGGTGGTTACTACATACATGCACACATACAGGTGACGACGAACCCACGCCTTAAGGAGCGGCGCCCCTAAAATAGTTCAGAACAATATTTTCCGAAGCGCCACACTGGTGATTCGAACCTGCCGCGTCTCGCTCCGCAGCGCGAGCCGATAGATGGGTCGGCAACGGAACATGCATCCTTCAGCATACTAAGGCGAGGTATACATATGCACCATTCACCTCTGACGGCACGCAGAGCTCGGAGGCGCTTCAGTGTGTTGTCTTTATCAAAAGTGAGATGGCGCGAAGGACGCGCCATCACGCTTGCGAGAAAGAGATATCGGCACTGGCAAGAGAACAGAGAAGGTGCTGCAACAACGACTAATGAAGCCCTTCTTTCGTGCGCGTCCTGAATGTTTTACACCAGCAATAACTCAAAAACTAGGCTGCACGCTCGATATAGGTTGAATGAGGACAATTTGAGTGTACGCAGAGCTGCTATGAAGAATAACTGGCTGAGGTATAACTGTTGTGAACATCGTAATCTCTACATACAAGCATTTTATAACGGAACGGCAGTGCAACCACACACGGACCACACACGGTTGAGTGTGTTCGCTTAGTGTTTCAAATGTTTTGTTGTTGTCGACACGCTACGACTTGTGCGTTTCTTAAGTTGGCGCATGCAGGAAGCTTACAGCGGTTGTTCTTGTACGTTTCGTTTCTGAAATTCAAGATTCATTTGTGAGTGACAGTGCTGTGTTTCGTGTACCCTCTTTCCTCGGTCCGTGTTTGGTTGCGCTGCCGTTCTGTTGTAATGTACGACCAACAAGGTCAAGTCTTGTTACTTAAAAGAATGTTTTTCTTTGTTTTGCAAAGGCTATGCATATAATGCTCAAGTAAAGTTTCGCCGAGTCTCGTGGTACCACATCAACGAGTACTGTAGTAGCGAGGCTGCGCGAGAGCGAAGCTACGACGTCTCTCCACAGTGGGTCACGTGGCCTTGTGTCACGCCCTCCAAACTTGTCCTCCGGCAATTCAAATTCATTGCGTAGCGATGAATGCCCATAGAAAGCAGGCAGTGTAGGAGAGCTTCCGCTCCAGCAAAGGACTTACTCGAGGAACAAGTTGCGGTACTTAAGGGCCAGCATGAGCGTGTTAAGGAGCACCAGGGCTAGGACAAACATGTCCAAGTACCTGGGATAGGAATGACGTCAAGGTGCAAGACAAGGTGATGCGGTTTTCTTAAGCTTGATGTGCGTACATGTTATGTTTGTGCTGATACAGTGCAGAAAGTGTGCTGAGACCCAAATAGAAAGTAAATTAGGGGCAGGTAGGAGAACACAATAATACGAAGCTCAGTTACCGGTTTAAAATTTGTCACATTGACTCGAAAGTGGTGAAAGCCCGAGGTTGAGTATCAGAACATCAGAAAGACCAGTGACAAGTACTGTCAGGTCAAAATGAAACGGGAACATGAGTATAGGGTAGCACAGGTATGCCCATTGTTGTATGTCAAGAGAAAGTTAAGAACCACGTTTGACGTAAAAAATGAGCATCTCTAACAAAAATAAAAAAACTATGTATGCAAATTTGTTGCTTTTATAGATATGGTAAACGGTACAACTTCATGCGCGCTATGTATATTAATGTGTCAGCTGGCTTAATGAGATGTTCCCCAGTAGGCAAAAAGTGGTTTAAGAAACTACGCCTCTCGGCCAAGGCTCTCAAGCATAGCTCTGGCCGACAGTATGAATAAGATGAACTAAACAAGGCATTCCAGCCAGCGATACACTGGTTTTACAAATGAAGGATACTGGCTGGTGACGAGTCGCACGCACAGCTTCCGCACCGGGTGCAGTGGGCCCAGACAGCCGAATGATTTGGCCGCGTTGAAGCGATACACGTGGTAGCCGCCCAGCTTCTTGCCGATGGCGCAAAACGTCTGCGCACGCATGAACAGTTCCTCGATTAGCGGCTCGATTTGTTAGAAAAGAAGCTTGTTTTGTTGTGTTTGTGTTTTAAGAGAACACCCCCTGAAGTACGTAGGCAGGGCGGTGACCTGTATCTTATGTACTTCGCCTGCTATGCGCTAGTGTTTTCTTTAGTCCAAACATTTGCTTCTTTCTTGTAGTACTTCGATTTCTTTCAGCTCGTATACTGGTTAAGTCTCGGATTGATATAGACTATCAAAAATTCCAAGCCTCGCCTGGTTTGGTATACGTGGTAAGTACATGGTATACATTGATGACTTGCTATACATGTGTCTCAACGCACGAAGTTGGCAGATTAATATTTTACCAAGCCAGTGCTGCAGTCATCCACCAGTATTCATCAAGTGACGCGCAGGCAGAGTGGCGATCAAATCATTCTACAGCTCAGGGTGTGCAGTTTTGTCCTCGTTTTGTCCAATTTTGTCCAAGGCGATTGGGGCACGGTGTCCTACCATTTATTTCTTGCTATTTTGTACGCGCACGCATACAAAATGTGAAGATTTTGGGAGGGGGAAGATCTAAAACCCCCATACGGCACCCCTGACTATCGATGTTTAGAAAGTGGGCATTAAAAGACAGACGCAGGAAAGAACGATAATTATAGCGCGAGAACAGAACGACGACACAGAGACAAGAAGGACACGAAGGACACGAAGGACACGAAGGACACGAAGGACACGAGTGTTGTCGTTCTGTTCTCGCGCTAAAACTATATATCGGCATGTCATACCAACTAGCCCAAACTGCCACACTTCTAATTAACAGAAAAGAAGTCGAGACAACACAAACGCTCTGTTTTTGTGTCCGTGTTTACACAAACACCAACCAACTACCTCAGCTGTTTGTTATCGTAACTCCGGGCCCACTCTGGACACCACCATGGCTGAAAAGTGAAAAGGCCTTTACAACATTATACCCAATAACACACACACACACACACACACACACACACACACACACACACACACACACACACATATATATATATATATATATATATATATATATATATATATATATATATATACATATATATATATATATATATATATATATATATATATATATATATATATATATATAGAGAGAGAGAGAGAGAGAGAGAGAGAGAGAGAGAGAGAGAGAGACAGACAGACAGACTGATACATAGATAGATAGATAGATAGATAGATAGATAGATAGATAGAGAGATAGATAGATAGATAGATAGATAGATAGATAGATAGATAGATAGATAGATAGATAGATAGATAGATAGATAGATAGATAGATAGATAGATAGATAGATAGATAGATAGATAGATAGATAGATAGATAGATAGATAGATAGATAGATAGATAGATAGATAGATAGATAGATAGATAGATGTATAACGACGGAAGTATAATTTGTGTGTATGTCACTCGAATAGCATAATATCACGCGAATAGGCGCGACAGCGTCAGGCAGACTCATTTACTAGCGTTTTTTCTTGCAATGCGCTTTTCCACATTAAGATTACTAACGAGAAGAAACCCGCTTAACTGGCCTTTGAAACTTCATTAAAATGGAAGAGTATGACTATCTATCTATCTATCTATCTATCTATCTATCTATCTATCTATCTATCTATCTATCTATCTATCTATCTATCTATCTATCTATCTATCTGAGTTTCTTTTATTTAGAAACCGTCAGATTGATTGCACGACGGGATAGAAGCTGTGGAGCTCGCCTGCTGCGGTAGTGTGGCGTCGACCTCTTGGAGTGGGATGCCGCACAAAGAATCATGAAAGACGGGTGGTTGCATCGGGCACAGTTCATCGTCATCCATGTTTGGGCCGGCCTGGGGACAGCCTTCGGGTACCACGCTTTTCTGCGGGAGGCAGACATTGCTCTGTCTGTTAATGTTAAGGCATTATATGTCTCATGAATCAAGAAATTTTCGAGATATGGGGAGACCTGAAAGTATTTTGTGAGACCCGGAGTACTATTCTGGATGTGCCCCGCCGCGGTGGTCTAGTGGCTAAGGTACTCGGCTGCTGACCCGCAGGTCGCGGGTTCAAATCCCGGCGTCGGCGGCTGCATTTCCGATGGAGGCGGAAATGTTGTAGGCCCGTGTGCTCAGATTTTGGTGCACGTTTAAGAACCCCAGGTGGTCTAAATTTCCGGAGCCCTCCACTACGGCGTCTTTCATAATCATATAGTGGTTTTGGGACGTTAAACCCCACATATCAATCAACTATTATGGATGCTTCCATCTCGCCATCTTCTCTACGCTGGTTGCTACAGAAGGCTGCTACGGCCTCTCTGATGGGCTTGAAAGCTGCCATTACAGAATCTGGCAATATGGCGGGACTTGACGATTTCCAAAAAAGCACTCCTACTGAGGCGCCGCGAGATTTGGTGGGGCCTGATGAGACTTCGCGAGACTTCACGAATATAAACAAAAGGCAATAAAGCTCGGTTAAAGGTCACGTGATGCTAAATTTGAGCGCCGTAGGTGCACTAAATGTCACATGGTGTCATCAATGTCGTATCACATGGTGTTACGCATCGCTACTATTTGTGACGTCATCTTGAAGTCACTGTAATGCCACGTAACATGACGTCATCGAGAAGACGCCTATCGCTTTCGAGTCAACTTAAGCTTATGCATCAGGGACCTTGTGACTTATAGTGGTTCGGTTGGGCATCAGGATAAGATTCAGCTTTAGTTTTTTCTAATTACGCCACAAATGAGCTCCATAAGTCTTGCATAAGATTGGCTAAGCTTTAAAAAAATGGGGGGGGGGGGGGGGAGTAGACTAGAAAAACTCGGGAAAGGAGTGGTTTTGATTACTAGACCTACGGTTTGAGTGGTCATCCGCCTACTTTCGCCAACAATACCACGTCCGTGTGTCAATGACTTGCCTCATTGGGAGAAAACAAGCTAGAATATAAACCAAATCATACATCCAATTCATCTTGGCGCCACAGCTGTTGCGATTTATGCCTTTATCTTTCTTTACAAACGGAAACTAAGTTACAAGGATGCTCCTTATTAACCGCACTAAACAATAGCACGTCTATAGGTAGTCCGGGCAATTGGTGGTTGTCGATTACGACTTGCACCGCATTTCGTTGGCGAGTGCCTTCAGTGAGCGGTCGAACTAGAAAGACGACATGGCGCACCCAAACATCCCGCGGATACCGGACGCGCAGAAAACGTGAGCGCGATTGAGATAAATGCTTACCTGCCAATGGACTTGAGGTGCACCCTTATTCGCGCAATGGTTTCTTGTGGCTGCTTTCTACGAGTTCGTCGCGCAAACCACCATGGGACTATCTTCTCTTCTTCTTCCTCCACTTCTTGGACTTGGAGCGCGTGAGTCCGAGCGAAGTTCGCATAACACCTCTACCAGTACTTTTATCACTTGGCGGCACTTCATTTGATTACTGCCGCAGGGATATATGTTCCACTGTGTTTGATTACATCAATGCAACTGAAAGATTATTATGCTAGTGAACCCTAACTTTTTCAGATCTTTAGTTTAAATTCGTAGCGATTTCTGTCGGGAACAAGAGATGGTTTGACCACTTGCTCAGCAAACATTTTTGTTTATTGGCAGTATTATCTCTAAACAAATTTTTCAGATGGGCTTTATTTCCATTTTAGTTTCATTTAAGTATCCTGCCGCCCGGTTCTTGGCCCATCCCCCTTTGTGGTTGAGCGCCATCCGCCTGAGGTCATCAGCATCAGCATAACACTTTAGCAAACACTGAAATTGTTGAAATATGAAACCAAAAATTGAGCAGCTTTTCTGGCTTGAAGTCTCAAAAACTGATTGAACAGCGGAGCTGGTGGCATAGTGTTGCAATTTCATAGCTTGGCTTTGCTCATAACGTGTTGTGGTCCGGAGGTGAATACCAGACTTGGCCGCCACAATAGTCTGGCTGCTGTATTTGAAGTACGTAACTGATATTTTATTATCCTGCCTTCAGAAGCTGCCCTCTGCATTTTCTTTTCTATTCAAAGTAACGACACCATAATGATGGCAGGAAACTCATCGAACCGTATTACCTTTGATCGACCTCGCACAGCGGACATGCACATTAAGTATGATAGGCGACCAGTTAAACCTTCACTGTATGCCCCCATATCTGAAGACCAAGTAACGGGGACCTAACAGCCTATGTTGAGGGTGGTTTTCAATCTAAACCCAGAAATTGCAATCAGAACCTCTTCAAGTTCAATGTAGTGCCTTTCTCACTAAAGAATGTGTAAGCTGAACGTTCTGCTGCGCAACGCCACTAATTACTAAGCGCAATCAGTAATTCTATGAAATTTTAAGACTGGCGAAGTTTCCGCCTGTAGGGAAAATGAGTATGGGCCTGCACTAAACGGTAAGCACTAAGGACGATTACTTCAAATCGTGGAGGCAATCGGCTATTGCACTTCACAGTCCACCTGGGTGGACCACATCTCTTGCCTATAAAGCCGTATTTGAAGTCATAAAGTTTCTTTAATCTAACTAGAGGGGACTCCAGCTTTGCGATCGCTTAGCGACCGTGGGAATGATGGGTAGTATACGAATTTGCCTAGTCTTCGTACTTGCGGGTGGCGAATCGCACTTGTGGCTTCGTTTGTTGCTGGTTTCGGGTTTGTTTCAAAGGAAAGAACAAACCCTTTTGACTTCATGACAAAACAGCTTCAAGCCACGCAAAGTCAAAAGGAACGTAAAGTACGAAGAATAGGCAAATCCGTGTACCCATAATTCCCAAGCTCGCTGAAGAACCATACGTTGCAGCTGAGGTGTGCGTCGATACGTCGGTGCACACCTCGTATATGAAGGGTTCAACGTCCCGAAACCGCCATATGAGTAAGACAGACGCTGTACTGGAGAGCTCCGGAAATTTCGACCACCTGGGGTTCCTTAACGTGCGCCCAAATCTGAGCACACGGGCCTACAGCATTTTCGCCTCCATCGG